ACCCCGGTAGGGCTCTGCCGGGGCGGCGGGGGGAGGCGGGCGGCGGGGGCTGCGCGGCCGAGGGGGGAGAGAGGCGGCGGAGCCGGGGCGAGCGGCGCTCCTGCCCCGGGGCTGCCCGGCAGCGAGCGCGGGATCCGCTCCGGGGACCCGCCCGCCGGGGTGGGACCATCGGAGCGCTCCTGGCCCGCCGTGCTGCGCTCCAGGAGCCGCTCGGCCCCGGCCTGGGCACCGCGACGGGCGGGGCGGTGCCGGCCCGGCCTTTGCCCGGAGCGCCGGCGGGGTCGGGCCGTGCGGGAGGACACACGCGTGTCCCTGGTCAGTGCCCCCCGCTCCCGCGGCGGGGTCGGGCGCTGCCGTGTTAAGCCCCAAGCCCGGCTGTGTGCGCTGTGCAGGGCAGGTCGGTCCCGCCCGGCCCCCCGTGTCCCGCGGGCGCTCCGGGGCCCGGCTGCGGCCGGAGCCGCCCCCTGCGAGCGGGGCAGGAAGGGCCGGTGTGCGACCCGCGGCGCCCGCGCTTCGCTCGAGTGAAGCACGTCAGGAAGCGCAGGAAACACAGCGGGTCTCGGCAGCAGAAGTGATGCTCCGGCTGCTGCCCTTGGCAGCGCTGCGGTGCAGCTCGGGGAGCGGCGATGGGCGCTAGGCCGTGCCTGTATGTGCGTCTGCAGGAATGGAGTTGATGGTGTTGAGTGCCACTTGGTGAACTAAACCGTGTTGTCTCTGGCATGCGGTGTGCCTGCTGGAGTGGACTTCTGGAGAGCTACTACACATACCTAAGTGTTTGTGAGTAGCACAGTGGTTTTCTGATGCTTTAATAGCTTGACAAAGCTGTGAAGCCATACTACCACAAGAGGGGAGCTTGACCCTCTCCCTTATCTTTTCCCTTGCAGTGCAGTGTGTGTTATGAGCAAGATAATTTAGGATGTTAGGAGCAGAGTCCAGGCAGACTGACTTCCTGTGGCCAAGCACGACCTGAAGAGTCTTGTCTAGACTATGTTTCTCCTTCGATATCTTGGTAGCTTGGGCTCCACTGACTGTTTTTTATTTTACTTTTTTTTTTTTTAATATTTTGTCCTGCTTTAATTTTGGCCCTAGTTCCAAGCCCTGTGTAGCTTCTGCTGCAGGTTGTTACCTGTGGAAGAAACCACCTTTTAATTTCTATAAATTGCCAAATTTATAGTAGCACCCTATCGATTTGTATGTTGGTAGCCTCGAAGAAGCAAATCAGTCATGCCTGTTTCCTTGTAGGCATAAAGAAACATGGGATGATTTTGACCTGATTGTAAGTGAAGTCTTATAATTGCTTAATCATTGTCAGGTGGAAAAAGGATTAGCTCTGGGTTTGAATCTGGAGTCCTGTGTGACATAAGTGTTAAGCTTATTGCTGACTAAACTGTGCATATTTGTGTGTGTCTGTAGTAGCTGTGTTTAAAGTTTGCCACATGGCACTGAAGTGGCACGTGAGAATCCCGAAGCTGCTTCTCTGAAAGTGTCTGGGAAGGGGAGGGAGGGAGTATTGGTTCAGAAGCATGTGACTACTTAAACTTGAAGGTAGCAGTAGTTATAATCTGTATCAGGTGCAGGTAAGGTAATGCTTAAATACATCTTTAAGTGTGTCATGTGGAAGAAAGAGCCTGTCATTTGCATTACTTCTAAGTTAAGTTGAGCTGCGTGCAGTTATAGGATTTGTTTAGATTGTGGGAAACCTTAAAATTCAGTTGTAGTTTGTTAGGTATGATATTCTGAAAATCCAAATTTTGATACTGCTATCAGACAAGATGCTGACTAGCCAAAATACCATCCTGAGAAAACTTTTGGGATGGAGTGTAAAAATCCTCAGAAGTGACTTAGGAAGCAGCATAACGAGTAGTAGGAGAAATGTATTTCCTTGTTCTGTGCCAAGGCTTTCTTGCAATAGACATAAATGAACATATTCCTCATGTGAAGTACCCATAAAAATGTCTGCAAAATATTCTGTGATGTTTCTTGATGCATCATTAATTAAGTGTTATGTCTTCATTTCAATAGAGTAGAAATTTTGGTAGATGCAAGTTTATTTTGTTTACATGGTTGGTAAGTCTTGTCTGAGGGCCTTGCTTTTTGAATAAGCTCATAATACTGAGATTTGTCTGTAGGCTGCTGTGGCCTGGGAAAGCTTGGAGCCACTCTGACACAAAGAAGGAAAATAAGGGTGAAATACAGTGAAAATAAAATGCGACATCAACCCCCTCCCTCTCCCTGATGACTGATAAACTATGCACTTCCTTAAATAACTATTCTCTGATTTGCTTTTGGCCAAGCATTTTCCTGGTCAAGTGGCTTGGGACTTCATCCTTAGCAAGAATCCTAATTTATATCATGGGAGAATGTTAAGACTGATATCTCTGCCCTGATGTTTACTGTCAGGAAGCTCTTAATTAGCTCAGGCTGTTTATGGTGCGTTGTGTAGCATCAAAACACTAGTGGTGGTTGAAGTAATTTGTTTTGCTAGTTATAACTTACCTGCTGAATTATTTTCCAGCCTTCCTTCCCCTTGCTCTGCTGCCTAAAGGAGAGATCTACTGTAATTCTACAGTGTATTTCATAATTAGTTCTTCTTGTAATTATCTGATGTTTAAGTTTCTTGCAGTGATGAGGTAAGACTTAGTGCTAGCCTGCAAGGACTTGGTTTTTCTATTGAGATGCACAGGGAAGGAATTAAATTCTTGCCCAGTTGCCTGTCTAAGGACCATTGGAACTGAGGTGAATGGCTATGGGGTTGCTGGCTTCAGCTCCTTTGTATTTCTGTGCTGGATCTGGCTCTGCAGACTTGGTGTCTTTACAGGCTTGTCCCTAGTGTTGGAGTTGATAGCAGCCTGCTGTGAGTGGTGGTGGTTTGTAACTAGGCAAGAAATTACTTTCTGTGACCTGTGCACAGCCTGGGGAAATATACCAATGTTTTCCTTCAGTAACTAAAGAATGAAAATATTTGGCTTAATTAAATCTCTGTTTATCCATGCATTTCAACTCCACTGTTTTTCTTTCCCCTCCAAAGAAGTACCAGTGTTGGCACCTCTGTGAACCTGAGGAGGTGGCCTTACATACAGCTCGCTAATATTTGGGGAAATCATCTTTGTTTGAGAAGCTGTTTTGGGAACTTTGTATTTTCTGTTAATGTTCTTCCTCTAAATGTTCATTGTAACTGTTTGTGGTTCACTGACCACCACTTGCACTTTGGTCTAGGGCTTGGTTGGGAGTAGTTCAGGCTTCCCCACCTGAGAATTAAGTGCAGCTTCAATACTGGTAAGCCAAGAAAGTTTTTTGGCAGCTACTCTAGTGGATTTCTAAGCCTGCAAGAATTGAGAATTGGGAATCTAGTCTCTATCCTGTTGTGAAGAGGATAATGCAGCTTGTTCCTAATACTTGGCTAATGACAAGTAAGATGCTCTCAAATATATGGGAGGGACTGGAAGTGGGAGGTTTGCATGTTGAAGGATGATCCACATATTGAAATGTCCTTCCTTTGGGGGAAAGGAACAGGTGACTATGGAGAGTCAAGCAAATATTTTCTCTGCCCTCAAGTCTGGGGCAAGTAAGAATGTGTCCAGATCGAACTATGGTGCAAATAAATGCACTGCTAAAATACAAAGGGTGAACTTTCTTACTTTTCACGGGTGAGCTCAGTTTTCAAGTTTACAAGGTGGGGTTCATAATGAGAAGCTGCAGGAGGAACTGGTTCCAGCCCATCTCGTGGTGCTGCCCAGGTGCTGCAGGGTCTGGAGGAGGCCTGTCTGAGCAGGGTGGGAGCAGTGGTAGGAGGGCCAGAGGTGTTAGGGCTAAAAAGGCCTGGGGAGTGTTGGGTGGAGGCAAAACCAAAATCAAGAGATCTTGTACCAGCTCTTCAGTGGAAAAATTGCATACCTGGTAGGGAGATGCTGAGAGGAATGAGCATCTTCCTGGAATGCTGCTGACCTCTCCTTTCCACATGCTGTTCCATCACTGTCAGGCTGATGTTCTGGGGTCATAGAACTTAGTTTGGTTGCTAGTGAGCCTTGAGCTGACTGATGCAAATTGATTACTCTCTAATTTGATAATTCAGAGGTGTTATTCTGACATACTTCAGTTTCACAGAAACCAATAGAAGTTGAACCTAGAAGGGGTAGGAATAGCTTGTTTCCTTCTTTGCTCCCTCGTGGTGAGCAAGGTGCACTGGAATGTGTCTCGAGGTGTTTTTCATAGGATGCTCAGTGTTCGTCCTTTAGGAAGGGGAGTAAGGTTTCTTAAGTTCTCAGAAACAGAATTTTTTTTATCTTTTTGCTTTTTTTTACTTGTTTTTGCTGATTTAGGGCTCAAGTTCAGATTGTAACCTTGGCCCAGAAGCAGAGTAAATGAGGACTAATAGTGCAGGTAAAGCAGTGATTACAGAAGTAACTAGGATTGTATTCGGACTGAGACTATTTAAAATTCACTGTTTGCTTGCTTAGTACTTTAAGATCTGCCTAGCTTTGGTTGTTCCTGTGAACAAGTCGTGCTCTTGAAGTGTGTGGGGGAAGCACTTTGGTTAAAAAAAGAATTTAACTTACAACTGGGGAACAACTGCTTCCTCTTTTTTTTCCTGTAGGGCTGTGCAGTTTGCTAGCATGATAAAAGCTGTTAGAGATGTCTGTCTGCTACTCTAAGTCTCCTAGTTTAATAATAAGTTGCTGCTTGTTCTGATTTGCTCATTATTTTGAGCATTTCAGCAAATGATATTCTAGTCACTGGTTTACTAAGCCTTAGTTGTTCCTGTTGTAGAGTTTTCAAGATAAGATGAAATTGATACTGTCATGTGAAACTTCAGTATTGCCATGCAAGTAAAATTGAATGAATTGATGCTTCTTGAACATGCCATGCTAATGGATCTGGTGTTAAAGGTTTTGGAGAACATGGCATTCTGCTTCTTTGAAGCTGGGCTTGTGTGGAGAGGGCTCTGAGGTACTTGACATTCACATCCCAGTGTAATATCCTAAGGTTGATGAACTGGGCTGATACTTTCTGCTACCTTCAGTAGCTGTTTTATTTTGTTCTGCTGTAGTAATATTAAAATATTATCCTGTTCAGCATTGAAGTGTTTGTATACACAATCTCTTACTCCATTATCAAGGGCATTTTCTCCAGTGTGTTTTGTTAAGTCTTTAGTAGGGGTATAGCAGGATGTTCAGAAGATTATGTGCCTAAAACTTGAGTAAATAGTTGTATAACTTGAACATGGACATGATTTAACTGCCAAGTAACAATGCCAATAAAATGACATCATCTACTTTAGTGGCTGTTTGTCTAAATTTCAAAGTACTTCTAAAAAGGAACTGAAACCTTCAAGATCTAGAAAAGGTACCTCACTTGATGATCTCTAAAGGAAAACACCATTAATGACAAAATGAACTGTCAGAGTTAATTCCTATTCACTGTTTTCAGTACCAAAGGTAATAAGGCTTAATTTGTGGTGTTTTGGAGAAAACAGTGACAAGCTTAGATTCCATGTTTTTCACTTCAGCTATCCCTTGTACCATAGTTCTGTCATTAGAATTATCACTCTGCTTTTGATCTATAAAGGATTTGGCTGTTTTAAGATTATGATTGTGGGGTTTTTAAGCTGTAACATAATACTTATTAGATTGTCTGATCCAGCCAGCTTCTGTTCTTCCAGCAATTTGAGCTATTTCAGTGTTTACAGGCATGAAGCCACACACTTAATGATTCCATTTAAACCTTTTATATAACATTAGTACTTGAGTATTGCTTTATAGCTCAGCATGATAGAATTTAGTAGACTTAAGAGTGAATATAGTTTGACAGTTTTTAACAAGCTTTCTGTTAAGCATTAAACAGTTCTAGTAATGTATATAAGGCTTTGTTCATTTTCTGCTTTCTCAGTGTTAGTAAATCTAAAGCTGTCCAAGGTGCAACTGGGAAGAGTAGGTCTGTGTCACCCCCAAGTTAAAGTAGGTTGAAATTGGATGTTGTGTTCTGCCAACAAACCCTCACTGGAGGATTCTAATGCATTCCTATAATTATAGCAATGCATTAGCCAGTATTTGCAGATGCATTTAACTTTTGGGGTGGAAAGAAATTGACTTAATCTCAAAAATGCCTGAGATTTGAGGAAGCTTTAATGTATTCTCTTGAGTCTGTGGACTAAATGCCTTTGGTTTTTTTAATTACTTACATTGTAAATGGTTTCTACATCCATGTTTCTGGCCCTCTGAAGAATGCTGTGGGTAGGTGATGGAGACCCAAGTGAATATAGTAACTAAACTGTTTTAAGTAATAAGTATTCTACCTGTTCTTCATACTTGCATTTTAATACAAATATGATAGATATCCACTGATGTGGTACTGAGCAGCTGCAGGTGTAAAGAAGAGAGAAAAGGGAAGGAAATTCAGAATTGTGATTCTCAAAACGGTACTAATGTGGCTGGTGGGGGTTTTCTGCTGTGTGAGGACCAGCCTGGAGTTTGCAATCTGCTCTGCTCGAGGTGGCTGACAAATATCCATGTGAACTAAAAGTTTTGGCTCCCTTCTTGAGGTATAGCATGTTGATGGCACCTTAGTTGCATTACAGTAGCTGAAATGCTGGAATTCAGTGTTTGAATATGTTTTGTTTTTTTGGTTTTTTTTTTCACTACTTGCTGGAGCTCTCCAGGGTGATTCAACTGTGTCAACCCAGTAGTGAAAGAATTTCTACAGCTCCAACTAAGTGTTTTAAAACTAGTTATTTGTGGTGTGTAACACACACCACGAATTTAAGATTATAATTTCAAGCTCTTCCTGTGATGGTCTGTCAACAGTGATTCTTAAAGTACTCCAGTTGCTTGTGTTTTTCTTCTTAGTTGTTTGGTTTTTTTTTTAAGTTGCAGGCAATGATCGAAGAGCTAGGTCAGTCCTACAGACTTCATAAGCTCAGGTAGAAAACCTGTGGGAGCTTCCCTCCTCCCCTAAATCCCTTCCCCCTGTTTTGCTGGGGAATGAAATGTTCTTTTCAATTTCTTTCTGGCCAGAGCTTATCAGTTGGGTGTTTTTGATGGTGAGTTACAGGTTTCTAGATGAGGAGGATGTGTGGAATGTGTTGTTCTCCTCACCTCCTTTTATGGGAAGAACTCTTTGAACTTGAAGATGTGTTAAGCTGAAGAAATGGCAGTGTAGTTGTAGCAATTGGAGACATTTGTGCACTGCAGTTTTACTCTGCAGTCTCATGCTCGGTTGCCTTCTTGTGTCAATGTGCTTTTTTTTTTTTTCCCCAGCACAGTTTGTGGTTTAATACCTTCTCCATCACTGTCTTGGGAGAACACAGCAACCTCATCTTCTGCTGCTTGACCAGATACATGAATTTATCAAACAAAAGGCAGATGAAGCTTCCTCAGTGGGCCAACTCTATTAATGAAAGCTTGATTTATAAACTGCCTGGAGAGACCATATAATCCAGCCTCCTGGCTTCACTATGTCCATTATCACCTCTGGGAGAGGTTTGTCTAACACATTCTTAGAGATTTACTATGTGAGACTTGATCCCCTTGCAAGCAATCTAAACCATGTGCTTATCTTCTCTTTTCAAAGGTGTTCCTGATCTGTAATCTGAGCCTGTTTTTCTTCAGTTAAGGCCTATTTCTGAGATAGATGTGGAAAAAATGCCCTTCACTGAAAGTTTTAATACACCTGGGGAAAAAAATTCTTACCTGTTTCATTTAGTTTCTTCAGCATAAACATCACTGCCTTTCATGGACTGGATTCTGCTACAGGACCTTCTTGCCTTTCTCACTTCAGATTCTTCTCCAGTCACTTCATCTCATGTGATTAGGCAATCAAAGCATCCAAAAAAAGCATGTGGTACTCCCAAATACATCTTGCTGTGGCAAACTATTTTGCAGACTGCACACGTGTGTACATACAGCTCTGCTTGGTCCTTGACTTATATGTACTAAATTGTATTTACTTACATATACTGAATTGTCTGAGTCATGTTTGGACTGTAAGCTACAGTCATTTAAGATCTCACTTGGAATTGTGCCCTATCCAGATGTTCAGCAGGCAGGTTGTGTTTGTGGCTAACTAGGAGTGCTTATTAAGGTCAGTGTTGAGACACCTGTGTTCCTGCAGCAGACCTGCCCCTGGGCTTGTGTTGCCTTTTCTCCTTCCCCCACCACAGGCTGAGGGAGAATCCCACAGCTTGAACTGGGATTGCAGCTGCCTGCCAAGAAATGTTTCTAACCATCATCAGTGGTGGAATTACTGGTGGTAATCCTGTTTACCCAGACACTGTAGTGGGACAGATCATGGAATGATTGATGTTAGAAGGGACATTAAAGATCACCTCATTCTAGCACCCTGCCATGGGCAGGAACACCTTCCACTAGACCAGGTTGCTCCAAGCCCTGTCCAACCTGTCCTTGAACACTTCAGGGCCATGTCATCCCAGCATCTCTGGGCCTTGCCACCCTCACAGGGAGGAATTTCTTCTTTATATTTAATCCAAATCCACCACCTTTCAGAGTGAAGTGATTTCCCCTTGTCCTGTCACTCCAGACTCTTGTCCAAATTCCCTTTCCAGCATTTTTTGTGGCCCCTTTAGGTACTGGAGAGTACAGTAAGATCTCTTCTCCAGGTGGAACAACCCCACCTGTCTCCATAGCAGAGGTGCTCCATCCCTCCAATTATCTTTTTTTCCCCCCTCCTCTGGACTTGCTCCAGCAGCTCCATGTCTTTCCTGTGCTGGAGGCAGCTCTGCAGGTGGAGTCTCACCTGAGCAGGGCAGAGGAGCAAATTCCCCCCTCCCCTGCTGCCCATGCTGTGGGATGAGCCCAGGACCTAGTTGACTTTCTGGCCTGCAAATGCAGATTGCTGGGTCACTTTGAACTTGTGTGAAGCTGTACTTTTTCTAGGTTTGCAGTCTTGTAATTACTGAACTTGGTTGGTCTTTTGTAAGTGTCAGTGAGCATACATCTTCTTCCCTATTATGTTGGCAAACTCCAGAGCTGTACTCCAAGGAATGCTAATTTGGGAGCTCTCTGAATAAGTATTCTTTCATAGAAGCTCTTGGTCTTATTGTATGCTTTGAGAGTGGATGGACCATTTTGTCTGGAACTGCACAGGAAAACTCTACTTGAGGCACTTACCTGCCACTGCCAAACTTCAGTGGTTCAGGCTGAGGTTGTCCAAGCTGTAAGTCAGTGGTGATAATTTAACAGTGGAAATGGCTTTCAGCTTTAACTGATCATGGTTGTGTTTAGCTCTCTAAGGCAGCTCTTCTTATGCCTAATTAGGAGAACCAGAGCCCAGCTCAGTTAACAGGCTGTAGATCAGTTAACAGCAGGGCTGAAACCCAAAGGCTATCTAAAATCAATGGGGGTGTGTTTTTCCACTCTCTTAAACTGCCATACAATGAGCTCACACTGAGTAAATAATGTGCTAGGTATAATTCTCCATGTTAGGAAACAGAGAGATACTGATTGTGTAAGGGTGGCTTGCTCAAACTAAAGTTTGTAGCTCACCCTTTTCCAGGATGTGCAGCTGAAACTGTGTGAGGAAATCGTGCAACTTGTTGATTCCTAAGGGAAACTGGATGAGGGGCAAAGATGTAGAACAAGCTTGTAAGCATTTGTAAGCCCATTAATCTCAATTCTTGTTAAAAAAATAACGGAAGTTATTCCAGCCATTCTCTTGGTAAGATTTTTTTGTACCCTTGTATTCTAGAATGTCGTAGACAATTAGAATTGAGAAAGCAAGCAGTTGAGAGTCTAGTGCCTTAGGGATCATCTTTTCCAGGGCACTGTGACACACCAGGTGACAGCTTTTTCCAGTGCTTACAGATTGGGTTTCCTGACTCCAGTCCCTTTTTTGCTCACTATTTTGCCAAATGTTGTGCATCAACCTGACCACAAGTCATTGAGACTTTTTCCCCAGGCATAGAGATGACGAGAAATTATTTATTTCATGGTGACTTTTTAATTATGACATGGGGTTTCATATCTCCTTGGACTTCTGTAACTGTCCCTGGAAAGTTGAGGATTGCCTTACACAAGGATGTGTGTTACCCTATCTGGGTGTCTCATTGTTGTGTGTCAGTAATCCTTATGCAGGTGAGTTTTAAGACTTACATGAGCATAATGCAAAAGCATCAATGTCCTGTGGGGCAGTAGAATCTGCTGTGAAAGAGCTGCTGATTTGTCTCTTGGCTTGTTTTAGATTTCAGCAGAAGTTAGCTTGTATGTCAAAGTGGTAATAATTCTGATCTTAACTTCTCTCCTTCTCTTCTATATTCATTGTTAGCCTCCAACACCTGGAAGGCCTAAGGAAACATTATGAGGATAAGTGTGGAATTGGAAATGTATATTAATGAAAAGGCTGAATAACTTCTGAGTAACCATAGTTATAGCTTAGTATGCCATTGTCTGCTTACATCAAGACCTGAAACTTTGTCCTTTCAGAGGAGAATGAAACTAATCCCCTAGGTATTCCTATATTGTGTGTGATACATCAACCATTCTCCTTATGTGTTTTAGAAAATCTCCTTGGAATATCTCAAGTCCATATGGCTATGTATGATGAAGATATCTTGAAAAATCCCTTTTATTTGGCCATTCAGAAGCGACGTCCTGATCTGTGCAGCAAAGTTGCAGAACTCCATGGAATTGTACGTATAAATAAGTAAATTTAAAAGCTGATTATTAAATGCTAGGTATTTGAGTTTAAATCATATGTCAGCTATGAAACATGTAAAGATTAGTTCAAGCCTGCAAAACTTGGAAGTGAAGCAGAACAACTTTTAGTTTGTTACTTGTTATTTACTGATATGGACCTCTGATATATTGAGGTAGTAAAAGGTTGAAATTGGTGTTGTTTCTAAACTTTACAGGAAATTTATTTTCTTTGCTGTGAACTGAAGTTACGTATTCTCTCACATGCTTGTAACTGAAAATGGGATTGACCTTTTGAATTCCTGGTGGACAGACAGTCACTTGTTTCTAACAGCATTTTGCATAGCAAAATAGAGCTATTAAACTGAGCTGGAATAAAAACTCCAGTCCTCGAGATTTCTAATCTGGGTGTTCTGCAATTAATCATTCCAGATTAAGTGTGTGGAGATTCCATTAAACATGGAGGTTATTGTTACCTGATGATAAATTTGTTACTTTTTAATTAAGCATTAGTCCCAAACTGCCAATCTGTTGGTGTAGATCCAAGATGCTTCTCATCTTAATTTTTTTCTTTTTTCTGATGGATTTTCATTGTAGTTTGAAAATATACTTCACTTTTTTTATTAACTGCTTAATTTTAATTTATTTGTGTGACTCGTGCTAAGTAACTGAAGATTTCATCTCCTTCTCTTAGTATTGTTTCTTCAGTTGCATCTGTCATTCTTTTTCAGATAAGTCACTAAATGAAACCCTGGGGTAGTTACTGGACTGTGTCTAGCAATAGCCTTTCCTTTTATTTAAGCAAAAGCACCTATAGTGGCTACATGTTTAGCAGTAAATATTTATAAACCAGATTTAAGTGCTTGCCTCAAAAGGACAAAAGCTATTGCTGTTTAGCTGGCAATACATGGCATTTCTCTAAAGCATGATTTAACTCTTTCAGGTGCTAGTTCCATGCAAAGGAAGCCTTTCAAGCAACAGTCTTTCTACCTGCCAGTTTGAATCTTATGTTCTGAAGCCACTAGAAGAAAACTTTCAAACCCTAAATGGAAAGGTATTTATTTCCCTTTTGATGTCTGAATGTAGCTTGGGGACACTGCAGTAAGTGATTCATTGCAGCTGATGACTGATAGTGTGAACCTATGGTTACAGGAGAGGTAACCAGGAGTTATACTGCTTTTTTAGGGATATACTGCTTTCCAGAAAAAGCTATATTTTGGCATGCCCACAACAATAAATGTCCTGTTCAGGTGGTAACACAGCCTCTGACTTCCTTACTGTGGCAAAGCAAATTTGTCAATTTACCTGTTTTTTTACTCATAGGAGTTTTGTTGAGTGGCAGAAGTGCCTTTATCACTTAGCTAAGAACTGTCTCTTCAGCTTTCAGGCAAGTAGTAGCCTGCCTATATTATATGCAGATGCAAGTTCACCAAGGCTTAAGACAAAATTATGATGGTATTGAATTGTATTTGAAGTCTGTCTTAGTTCAGGGAGTGCAAAGTAACTGCTGTAGCAGCAGGCCATGCCAAAAAAGGCTGACACTGCATAGAATCCCAGTTTTTTCACTTGTTATTTTGCAGTACAGTCTGAGAACTTGCACCTGTAGTCTGCAGGCTGTCACCTAGATCTTCCTGTTGCAGATGTCCTCACTGGAGTTACTTGGGGAGATAAAGCTAAGTGTCAGAAACATAGACAAGATGTGTGGTGTCTTTCTGAGCTGAGCTTAGGTTCTAATTTTAAGTTGGGTTTTTTTCAATTTCCCTTCTACTAAAAGTGCCCTAAAATCTGCAAATAGTCAGTTAGATCTTGGTGATTGTCTGGAACTTCTGAAATGTCCTCTAGTAGTAGACTTGTAAAGACAGTGCCTGTAACCAAGGTTTAACCAGCCACTGTAGACTGAAGGAGGTTTTGGTGTCTACACAGATGAGAATGTGAAATCTTTTTGATCTGTGGCTTTCTTGTCTTGCAAGTTTCTCTTCTTTCCCTTGAAATTTAACTATGCAGTGCAGAAGCTAAAGAGTAACTTTCTTCTAGCAGAGTTTCACACTTGATCTGGTCTTTGTTTTGTTTCAGGAGATCTTCATACAAGGAAACCTCATCATTTTAGGAGCTGGTTTTAGTTACCATCTCTCAGTACCTGTTCTCTTTGAGGAAACATTTTACAATGAAAAGGAAGAAAGCTTTAGTATATTGTGTATAGCTCATCCCCTGGAAAAAACAGAAAGCTCAAGTATGTATCAAAGTGTTAACTTGGTGGCTGCTTTTGCACAGTGGGCAAATTAGTGTGTTTGATGTGCTTAATACATTTGTTCATTCTGAGAAATGTTGGCTTGGTTGAAAGCCCTCAGCATTCCTTAACTTCCTGAGGCAGATGTTGGTGTGCTGCTGGAGAGAATGATGAAGTTGCTGCTGGGCAAACTTCTGTTGAATTTCTCCCCAAGTTTCAGCACTAAAAATCATCAGTGGAGTACTTAATCCATCGTGATTTTTTTTTAGCAGTGCTCAGTTTAGTGCTGACTCCTTAAAACAGGGATTTAGTCTTAAATGTGAAGTGTGTCTTGAGATGAAAGGTGGATGCACAAAAAGCTGGAGGGGGAAATTCTTTCATGATCACTCTGTCAGTGGGTAGAGGTTGACTGGCATAGTTGTGTAGCAGCTCTCCTGGTTGAATGTCTTAATTTCTTTCCTGTACTGAAAGTACCCTTTAAGGCTGGAACAGTATTTTCAAGACTACTGTTAATGCTGTGAATGTAACAGGATTTCCATGTGAACTTTTATGTGTTTACTCATTAAGAGGAATAGAAACTCCTTAAGAAGCTAAGAAGCTTCAGCTTTTTCTGAAATAAAAACTTAAGTCTTCCTAAATAAATGATATTTGAAACAAGTGATGACAACATAAAATAACACTGGGATAGTGTGAAAATAGTACTGAGAGGGAAGTATGGAAGTTGCTCTGAAAAAAATAGCTGGCATACATATAGCCTTAAATTCTATAAATATTAATCTATATATCAAAAATTGTTCTTGTGGCATTTTTTTATCCATTACTTAATATAGTTTATAGCAGCCTTTTGGAGAAGAAGTAGTTTCTAATTTCAAAAGTAATTTGAAATGAATGATTTAAGCCTTTTATTAGTTGACTGGCTTTGATTGCAAATGAAAGATTTGCCTAGAAAAAAAACTTTGGAAAAGCAATATGGATTCTAAGTGAGGCATTCAGTTGTCTTATTCAGAAGGAAAGTGGATTAAGTTTAATGTTTACATGAAGCAACTTTGGCCTCCCATTCAGAGAAAGCGTGTCTAAATAAAGAACAGGTTATGTAAAAATCCAAGACGGGATTTCTACAGCTCACTTAAAGCACCCTGACTTCCTGCATGTGCACTCAGTCCACACTGTAATGTGCTTTTCTTCTACTTTCAAGCTTGACTTACACAACTCATAAACTGAGTGCATGTGGCAGTAAATTACCCCAGTGGAAAAAAAAAGTGAAATCTGTTTCAGCTATTCCAAATAAATACTTGACGTAAAAAGCAAGAGAGACTTCTCAAATGTGATGCATTAAATTCTTTTAATTAAAAGCAATACCCATAGTTAAAAGTGCAATAAGCTGCATTAATGTTTTATTCCACGTGAGTTGGCTGTGTGTGTAGGGACAAAATGTGTTTTCTCATGCATACATATTAACCCTGTGTGTTAATTCTTGGATTTCATTTCAGGTGAATCTGCAGCTTCCTCAAACTCCTATTCTCTTAAAAATATTGAAGATGTTAGAGAGTTCTTGGGAAGGCACTGTGAGAGATTTGATAAGTACATAGGATCTTTCTACAGAACATTTAAAGAACATGAAAGGAAAAGCCTCCGCCACTATATAGTCAGTATCTTCCTTCTTGATGTCTAATTTGCTGCTAGATAAAATTTGTTTCACTGCTCTTGTTGTCTGAGTGTTCTGAGCTTTTCTGTGTCAGAGTAGCCTAGAGTTGAGTAAGTGGGGGAAGGGAGAAAGTGAAATTCTTAAATGTGAATTACCACATCCTAATGTTTTGATAAATGTAATTATTTTTGCTAAAACTCTTAACATAGTGCACATTTCTGAGGAAGAGAAGCCTTTCCTGTCTTTGCTTATTTAAGCTTTGTTCCTTCAAGTCACATTCACCTGAATCTGATGGCTTCTTTTTTTTTTACCTTTTCTCCCCCCAGGATTCTGTGAATGCACTTTATACCAAATGTCTCCAGCATCTTTTGAGAGATTCGCACTTGGTAAATGCTTACTCCCCTAAATACATAGTACAGTGGTACTTAAGCAATAAATTATCTGACTTTCTCATGCTGTTTTTGTGGCTTTCCTTTTCCAGAAGATGCTTGCAAAGCAAGAAGAGCAGATGAATCTGATCAAACAAGCAGTTGAAGTAAGAATCTGAAATGAAGGAAAATAATTAGCAAGCTATTTTTGACTCTCCCTTTCATGCCTAAAGTACTGGGTTTTTTTCTACAGATGTATATCCACCATGCTATTTATGATCTAGTCTTCAAATACGTGGGAACTATTGAGGCAAGTGAGGTAAGTTTCTTTGGTTGCTAAATGCTGGGTACATGAATCTAAAACATTTTAAAAAAACTGTTGCCTTTCTATTGATAGGATGCTGCTTTTAATAAAATCACCAGGAGCCTTCAAGACCTGCAGCAAAAAGACATTGGAGTGAAACCTGAGTTCAGGTGAGGGAGATGATTGTGGACTCCTTTGAGGAGTCAATGAGATTCTGTCTTAAATAGGATCAGGTCAGCTAAAAAGTGTCTTCCTTCAGACATTTGTGAGTTTATCTTCATTTCTTTGAGATAGAAAAACAAAGCTTTGCAATTGTTGCATTGGTGGTGGTTTGCTTTGCTTTTATAGTTTTATGCTTCCCTCTTCATCTGCAAGGTACGGAAATGGAGGTGTGCTTGGAGTAGAAATGAAAACACTTTAAAACCATGCTTCAGTTCAGCTCTGAATAAGTTAAAACATGTGCTTTGGACATCCTGCACATGAACTGTGTATGCTAATCATTCCTTTCAAATTATTTTGTAGTTTTAATATACCACGTGCAAAGCGGGAACTGGGTCAGTTGAACAAATGTACTTCTCCTCAACAGAAGCTACTTTGTCTGCGTAAAGTTGTACAAATTATTATGCAGTCTCCTAGCCAAAGAGGTCAGTAATTAGTGAATCAATCATTTTCAACTTTTTTTTCTTAAGCAGCAGACACAAAACACTTCAGTCTATAACCCACTGTTTGAACAGCAGTTGTGGATCAAACACAGTTGAGTTGGGGGTCTCTGAGGTCTCCAAACCGAGCACGATGGAGGCAGGGACATTTCAGCACTGGTTCTTGTGGGGTAAGGTGGGGTCCTGGGTTAGCTTATGTGTGTATTAGCTGGGGCACTTCCTCAGGCAGCAGAATTGGGGGTGATTCCCTTTAAATGCTCCTAGATTGTTTTGTCTGTTGGTTCATGCTCCTTGATATCTTGAAATTGATACTCTTAAGATGCATCTCTTTTAAAATGCAGTGTTGGTGGGGGACAAACAAATCTATGTGCTGCTTTGGAAGTGCTACTGTGGATTAGAGGGTTGATTCTGTGATAGGAAAACATGAACCTCTTAACCTGGTATTTATTTTTTCTAGCTTGGAAAGAGAAGATACTTCTACTAAGCAAATAGAGTAGCACAGTGAATTGATGCTTTCCTTATTTCATCTCTTCCTTTCTCCACTAAGTCTACTAGGTTATAGAAAACTGTATCAACTTTGAGTGTAGTCTTTGCCCTCAAGAATTTCAGAGCCAGAGCTCAAGATTTCCTTCTGTGTAGGAAGAGAGGGATGCTAATCAAATATTGCAGTTTGTACAGTACAAACTGCATTTGTGTTATGGCTTCTGTCAGGTTATTTTAGTGAGAGATTGAGAATATTTGGAGGCTGCCTTGGTTATTTAATGCATTCCCTACTAGCAGAGCTGGCCTTTAGTTTTAGGAGGTAGAACTCCCATTTAGGATTTCTGTTCTTGCTTTGAACCATGACATGAGTAACATCAGATTTTTTTTTTCTTTTTTAGTTAACATGGAAACCATGTGTGCAGATGATCTTCTCTCTGTTTTGCTGTATTTGCTTGTAAAAACAGAAATCCCAAACTGGTATGTGACTACTTTGGCTGTGCAGAACTCCATATCTTATGTAGTGCTTCTGTAGGGGCAAATGTTTCTGAATATGCAGTAATAACTTAAAACAGGCCCTCTTACACTTCCAGTAATGCAGAAAACTATTTATTACTAGGACAAAGAGCAAAGATGTGTTACAGGTGTGACTAAATTAAGGACCTATCGGGAATGCATCTTTGTTTTGATTCCCAGCCTAGAAAAAAGTTGCAATGGGAGGCCATCTCTACCAGATCTGCATGTCAGTATGGACTTCAGTGGTTCTCTCTCATCAGTGGTGGGAGCTGCGAAGCTTTTATGCATCTTCTAATGTTTGATACATTTCTTATAGAGAAACCAGATGTGAATGTGTAAATGCTTCCTGCTGGTCTATGCCATTGTACTTATCTCTCCTTATCTTCAGTATAAGTCTACCTAAACCTTCCACCTGTACCTGAACTGAATTTCAGTGTTGCTGTGTCCTGTATGTTGGGGATCAGCATTTTACTTACAGCCAGCACTGTGCACTGGTGCTTATGGTGCTTGCAACATTGAAGTGAGGCAATGCCCCACTACTGTTCTTATCTTGTCCTTCATATTTATCTCCAGTTAAAAACATTTCATTGAATATTTGAGATAACAGAGTTCTGATCAACCTACAAAACTTGGAACAGCCTAAGATGAGTTGCAATATGTCATGCTGGTGTCTTATATTTAGTGGTTCATGGCTTTAACTTTCTATTTCAGGATGGCCAACTTGAGTTACATCAAGAACTTCAGGCTTTGCAGCTCAGTGAAGGATGAGCTGGGATACTGTCTAACCTCAGTTGAGGCTGCAATAGAATACATACGACAAGGCAACCTGTCTGACAGACCCACAGTAAGCCACTGTTAAACCCTGTCAAATGCCTGTCTGATATCTTGTAGGACTGAGTTCCACTGCAGGGGTAAATCCAGACACAGGATACAAATAGCTAACATAACAATTCCCTTTTTTTGCTAAAGAAATGAGTTGAGGTGACTACCTGAAGCAAATGCTGAAAGTACCTAATGATTACAATGAAGTCCTAACCCTGTAGCAATACTTGTTGCTCGTTGTATACTCCTTGAGGAAGTAGGTAAATGTGAAGTCTTGCATCTTAATGTGATTAGGGGAAAAATGACAACACTATTTTCTACAGCTGAGTCTTCAGTAAGTCTGGTGTCTCCTGTTTATACTCCATCATGGTTGTGAAAGCAGTGCAGTACTTGATAGTAGGCATGGCTTAAACAAATTCTTGTGTCACTTTGAAAAGCTTAGCTGTGCTAACAGAGTGGAGAGTGCAGTGTAACGTAGAATTATTCAGTAAATCTTCATGCTCTGAAAATTCAGTGTTTGCAGTGCAGTGCACCAGGTTGATACATTAGTGGGACTGCAGGGCTATGAGAAGGTGGTATTTGAAGGTTGAATTTGGCTCTTGGGATCTCTAACCTAGCAGGGGCAGGAAGTTTATGGATGCATGAGTTATTTCCTACTGAGCAGCTAGACCTTCTGTCAATCTGTTCAAATCCCTGCAGGCCAGTCAAGGTGATATTGGTGTGACTTTAGAAACTTCTGTGACTAAGAACTTTGTAGCTTGTTTAGTAAAGGAATCCAGTTTTACCATTCCTGTAAACTTTTCTACTGTCGTAAAACTATGTCGTCCTGATCTGATATGGAAATCAAAAGGGGTGGACTTGGAACCAGAGTGAATTGAATGTGTCTCAGTCTGCCCAACTGCAAAGCACTGGAATCTAACTGCAGGGGCCAGAATAATGGCTCAGTGTGCAGGGCTGGGGGTGGGACAGCCTGGGGCACAATCTTAAAAAAGCAGGACTCAAAATAACATTTTAACCTCTTGTTATTTTTGGGTTTGTTCTTGTCTGGGGTCTTTCCACAAACCTGTCATGCAAGTTTGTTTTGTACACTCAAAAAAAAAAAATCAAACTCAACACTTTCATATTGTTTAAACAGACTGTAGTGGTATTTCTTGTCTGTAATGCTGTATTGAATTGTGTTTAAAAAAATAAAAACATTAGTTCAAAAGAAAAACAGCTTGCCCTACAATTTTGCTTCCTGCAATCAGTATACAAATATCAAGGCCTCAATGGAGAACTGAAACCATGGTAGAATTGTCTTCCACAACAATATCAGCAAGCTAGAAAAGAATATATTGCTCTTAAATTTCTAGAATAAAGACTGTTTCCTACTAAATGCCTGATCCTATCCCTCCTTATGTAGCTAAGCATAGCAGGTTTTTATGCTGAGATTGCCCTCCTGTGATTATAACTTAAGTGCCACTGCTACTAAGGTGCTGCATTTGTTTCTTTGGGAGACACCTGCCTTGAAAGATGCACTGTGTATTTGAGAAGTCTAAAAGAGGACATGAGTGTCTGCACCAGTAGAAGAGCAAGCAGTGAGTGTTCCTGCCCATACTTCAGCTGGAACAGCTCCAGACCTGGAGCACTTTCTCACTTCAGGGTGTGTGCACTGAGTGTGCAACATGACATCCTTCTGCTTTGCTTTCATGGCTTGAAGGCAGCACCCCAAGATTAGGAGGAAAGCAGTAGAACCTCGAGGATGAGGAAGTGGGTGATGGCTTACCCTCAATGCAGCAGAAAATAAAAGAGCTAGACCACCCTTTTCTCCGGTGTGGGAGAAGGGAGAATGTGGTACACAATGAGATGAAAGACTATGAGGTGGTAAATACCCCTTTGACAGGAATGGAAAAAAGGTAGTGAGGAGAGGGAGAAGCACTGCTCTCCCTTCAGGGACTTTAGTTGAGATATTTCCTTCCTTCTCTGGTAAAGGAGATGAACTTTCTGTTTAAAGCAGCAGCTGTCATGTTGATGCCCCATGGTTTTCCAGATTGTGGTGGAAGGGGTTGTGGGATTTAAGTGAGCAGGAGCATTGCTGTGCCCTGGGGCTTCATTACAGCCCTTTATGTGGCTATGCTTAATTTTATAGCTGGCTTCAGATGGAGCTTCTGGCAGCTGAGTAATGCTGCTGTCCAATCCCTAATGAAGCAACTACAGAAAGAAAACTCAGCAGGGAACTACTGTACCCTGTGGGATAATGGGCATATTATCACCCTCACATCAGTAAGTGACTTGCACTTAGGATGTTCTTGCCAAATCCCTTCACTAAGGTCATGCAAATTGTGGTGAGGCAGTTTGGTTGTGGGGAGGAGAGGAGCCTGTAACTGGTAGCTCAAAAAAAAAATCAGTTTTATTTTCTGGGAGTTGTCAACATTGTTAAATTAAAATTCCAGTCAGTGAGTGTTTGATGCTAGTTACGTTCCTATGCCCAACTATTGTGTAGTAAGACTCTGCTCAGAGTGTTGAAGTCGGGTATAAAATAGGGAATTAGAGCCAGCCATGATGGGATAGGCAGCATTTCGTTTGAAATCATCCCCACTCCGTCTCCACTTTATTAGCCTCAATTTGTGTTTGAGACTTCCTTTCCTGGCTTCTGCCACCAGGTCTTCAGTTGAGATCTGTGAAAATCACTTTGGATAGATCATTACACAGGTACACCTTCATAGGTACAAATATTTCATTTCTTTACACTGAGAGTAGTGTTCAATAAAAAAGATCATTAAGGTTTGGATGTGTATTTTCTAGAAAACATACACTTAAAATACCTGACAATCCCACTAAAAACACTTTCTTAAAAAAAAAAAAAAATTCTGGACTGCAAGTAAGGCTGTTACAAGTGACTTTTGACTTTAAAGGCCCAAACTTGCCTAATGCTTCAAGCAATATCTGATTCTTTTGTCATTCTGTGTTTCACTTTTGAAGATATGTGGGATCATATCACCTCAGATGACCTCTTTTTTCTGACTTAAATAATAAATATATAATACTGCTTTATTAGGGTTACTGTCTTAAGTGTTCCCCAAATGGAATAATTATTTAAAAGTCACCTCTCTTGAAAACATACACTGTGGAAGGAACTGTACTAAAACTACAGTAGTTCTTGCAGGTGATTACTTAGATTCCTCACAGTCAAAGTATAAAGCTGTCTGTGAGCATCCACACTAGAAATTCTGACTAGACATCAGAAACTTGTATCAGTTAAACTTTTGATTGCATGTTTCTTAGGGAAGTTATTCCTGGTCACACTGAAAAAATTATCCAAGGAAAATAGTAGTACATGCCTTTTAATGCTGAAAAGATATGTTTGGGTATCTTTAACTGAAGTACTTGGATTTGAAAAGGTTTGTGAATATGTGTCATCTTTGGATATCTAAATACAAACAATGTCCTGTGAAGTACAGACACAAACTTTTATCTCTAGACCTCACAAACATTTTTTAATGCCATTATTTACAATACAGTTTAGGGGTTTTTTAGACAGCTTTATGAGAAGCATCTGTGTTGATTTTGAAACAGGAATAATTTAATTTCTAGAAAATCTGAACTCTATATTTTTAGTATTCAACTTTTTTTGTATATTTGCAGTTCATGAGGTTCTTAAACTTCATACTGATGTTGAGTGTGGAGTCACACTGGGTTTAATCATTTATATCTGGTCTTCATAGACATAATTGCAGAAGCCATAGCCCAGGTCCTAAACCATCAAGTTTACCTCATACATGGGTGGGTATTTTAAGGACAGTGGTCTTATGGTTTATGGAGGCTGAAGTCTTTCCATTTCTAGAGAGATAATCATTACCCAAACAGCATCCAAAGAAATTATATTCACTGCCAACCATATGCAGCTCTTGATCACAATCAACTGTGGGCAAGTGTTTCCATCTATGTTCTTAGAAAACATTTTCCTTAGGTAGGTGTTTTATTTCATGGGAGGCTCAACGTTCCCATTACAAAATCTGACTCAGTTTTCACCTGGTTTGGGAGGCATTTATGTTCTTTAGTGCATCCTGGAGTGTATCTTCAGATATCTCAGAAAATGAGAAGTATCAATGCAATTGTGCTACATGTGCTCGGCTCAAACTCCAGTTTTCAAGACGTGCCCAGTAGGAAACACTGCATGAATGAATCTGCTGCAGAATGCTTTGCCTGGTGCAATCTTTTCCAGCAACTAGCAGAGAGTTCAGCAAAGTCTTCGAGTCAGAGTTGTATCTGGGTCATCTTTTTTAGTAGCCATCAGTAGTCATCTCTTACATGAAGTTGTCTTACTTTCTCCTGGTCAGAAAGCTGTGTTGCAGCTCTTACAGTTCTTGCTGTCTGTTATATGTCTTTTCTTTTTAGGGTGGCACAGCCATAATTTTGTTAATGTTCAATTAGTTCACAGCAAGTTGCAGTAAGGGAATATTCTGGTGAACATCTATTTACTATTTCTTTGAACAGCAGGTGCACAGTCTTTTGAGTCTCAGAATCTTAAATGTGAAGCTGATTTAAGCTTCAGTGTGTCTCATAATTCATACAAGGTAAATAGAGTGTTTATATTTTTAAAACTTAATTCCACTGTTAAGATACTTTACTTATGCTTGTAAACAAATAGATTATCTATATATTTTATTTTCAGGAATCTGAGAGTCTGTGTGACAAGCTGCTTTTAAGACAAAGGATGAACTTGTTGTCCCAGATGTCTGCTACACCGATAGACTGCTTGTTTAAGGTTAATAACTTCTATGGTAAAATACATATGTACCTATGTATTGCATGTTTATATCCTTCCCTTTCTGCAACTTTCTGGAATGTTATGAAGTGTTAATTACATTAGTGCTGCTAAATGTGCTTTAGTAGATGCTAAAAGTGTCTTTTAGGTCTAGTACATTTCTGTGCCAAAACTTAATACAATCTAACTTAATACAATCTTAGGGGTTTCAGCATGTTACATGAAATATGGAAGCAAATACGGATGAAATGCTACTGCTGCTGGTATTGTTTGGCCCATTTACTGCACAGATGTGATATTAGTATCTGGTTGTCTGTCACAGCTTTTGGTGCTTGAAATTGAACGAGTTTTCTGAAATAATTTAAATGTGGTCACCTGACAACTACTCCCTATTGTATGTTAATCTCATACTGACATTCTGAAAGAATTTTGCCTCTACAAGGACACAAAGCAGGGATTCTAATTATATATGTTCACAGCTTATGGCTAGAGACTTAGTAATTTTATAGAAATGTTTTTGCACAGAGGGAGCTCAATTTCATGATTGAGTCTAAAGAGAACAATGGGGATTGTTTTAATTTTTTATAGAAAGTGAAGTAAGCCAAGAACAGATTCTTTTTAATACTGAGTGCCCATTAGGGGGTTTTGTGCTGTGACATTGTTCATTTCTGCTTTCTGATGCTTGAATACGTCTTTTATAATGGGTTCCTTTCATTTTGTGCTTCAGTAAATTACTCTTGTTTTTTTCCTTAAAAGGAGGCCTTTTGTATTGGTTCCTCATTCTCTTTTTTTCTGTTTTTTTTGGTAGCATATTGCTTCAGGTAACCAGGAGGAAGTGGAGCGATTGCTAAGTCAAGGTGACAGTGATAAGGACACTGTACAGAAAATGTGCCACCCGCTCTGTTACTGTGACAAATGCGAGAGGCTGGTTTCTGGGTGAGCACTCTTCATCTCCACAAATACACATAAAGCTGGGTAAAAGCCTTTATCTTTACTTCAGAAAGTAAGCTGCTTTTGGTTAAAGAGGAATTTGGTAGCACTTCAGGATGGAGTAGAGAGAGTGTGCCTGTGTGGTTTGAATTAGCAGAGGAAATATTAGATTACAGAATACCTTGGAACCCACCAGTTCTGTGATGGAGGCTCCGTGTCCTTTGGTAAATGTGGTGTTTCATCTCTTGAACCAAACTTACACATCTTGGGCAAAACCACATCTCTTAAAGAAATGTAAAGATCTGTATAGAATAACTTGTCCATGTGAAAGGATAAAAAGTTCCAGAATCAGTTTTTTGTTGGCCTTGGCCATTTTTCTCTTTCTCTCTCCTCACCACTGCCTCGTGGGTAACTGGGCTGCTTCCAAACCATTGTGTTTTACAGGAAACTGAATGATCCCTCCATTATCACTCCATTTTCCCGGGATGACCGGGGATACACACCACTTCACATAGCTGCTATTTGTGGTGAGTGCTGTTAGTTTTCCCCACTAGTACTCACTATTCCTTATGTTTCTTTAAGTCAGCATGTTTTCCAGCTTTACAATTAAAATTGGAATATTGCATTAAATTGGTTTTTTCCTTCTTTTCTGCTGTAACTGTTATCTGGGCACAGACTGAAGTTATTGTATGTTCTTTTAAGCTCAGTTTCTTATGGCTAATTTATTTTTTATTTGCTGGCTGTTTACTTTTGTTGTAGTGGTTACGACAAAGGACTTTCTTCAGCTCTGAAAAAAGTATAAATGTGAAATCAGAAACCAGTCTTGTTCTAAAGAACTGGCAGGTTGAGAAATGAATCTTTTCTCTGTCCTGCAGCTGGCTATGCATTGTAGGTCTGTAACGCCTGGATTTTAATGTTCATTATATCACTGATCTTTTACTAAAAGATGTATTATTTTCTTAGTGGGTGTTTTTTTATAAATAATTTCCTCTATTGTTATTATATTGAATCCAAATATTTTGTTACTCATAGGGTAAAAATATAGCTTGTTTTTAGCTAGAGGTTCTTTTCATGACCTTGAGTAATCTGCAGCAAAAAACCCCAAATACCAGGGAAGTGACTATACAGTCTATAGAAACATAGTATGCAGAAATACAGGGTATTTTGGTTTATAGTTCCTGCTTGAATTTGAAAAGTAGCAATGTTCTTTTGCAAAGTTTACTTATTTTTTTTTAATGTCTCCTTGTTTTCCAAGGGCAAACATCACTAGTGGATTTACTGGTAGCCAAAGGAGCCATTGTCAATGCTACAGATTACCACGGTTCTACTCCACTTCACCTTGCCTGTCAGAAGGGATATCAAAATGTTACAGTAAGCACCAACACCTAACTAAATAATACATATATGACGCTTAGTGAGCTGTTTTACTGTTACTGTCGTTTAGGTCTTCTGAGAAGCTTTTACCAGAACTGTGTAGTGTCAAAATTGAGAATCTTTTGTCACTGTAGTTTGCAAGATATTTTATTTTTTTCTTATACTGCAAGGTTTTCGGCCATTGGTAATAACCAAGCAATTGACAGCTGTACATGCCTGATAATTTATCCATTTTATTAATACAAATGTCCAATACATGGTACAAATGGAGAGCTCTTGATTGAGACAGAAGAACCATTGCAGTCACTGGAATGAGCGAAATGACTTCACATTGTGTTTAGGATAGACTGTGCAACTACAGTAATTGTCTACTTGAATTTTGCATATGTGATAGTCTTCAATTAGCATTGTGTAAATTAAGCTGTGTCTTCACTTGCATAGGCTCTTAAAATATAATAGTATATGTATTGCAGTGTTTGCTGCAGTAGAGAATTCATTTTTTTCAATGGCAACTCTGAAGATGTAAGAAGTGGCTTTTATTTGGTTCTCAGGGTGAGGCACAAACAGTACTGCAGTGCCAAGAGGGTGATGTCTGAAACAGGAGGCGTAGTGTTTCATGAAGTGCTTCATCATGCTAGGACCCTGAAGGAATCTGCAGAGCAATAATTGTTTGCCCATTAATTTTTTAGTTACTTAAATGTCTACTTCTGTTTTCCTTTTAAGCTGCTCTTATTGCACTATAAGGGAAGTACTGATGTTCAGGACAATAATGGAAATACTCCACTTCATTTAGCCTGCACTTACGGTCATGAGGATGTAAGTAATTGTTTGGTAACAAACTAAATGGACATTCTAATGGAATGGAATTAAACTGTGATGCAAATTTGCACTAAACTTACATATTTCAAAAGTAAATAAAAAGATTTGGAGGCTAAACTATTTAATGCTCTAGATCAGGACTTTATTTGGTTGCAATTTTTATTATGAATTCACATTAAAGATAGTACAGTGCAAATTTAGTTATTTAACTCTTTATTTAATGACACTGAACCATTTAAGCCTCCTCTTTAGGCAGTGAATTATATGAGCAGCAATGAAAAAAGCTTTTTAGAACAGTACATGTTATCTGAATTGAGAGGCACCACCATAATTTATTGATAGCTTTCCTTTTCTTTCCAGTGTGTCAAAGCTTTAGTCTACTATGATGTGCATTCCTGCAGACTAGATATTGGCAATGAGAAGGGAGACACTCCTCTCCATATTGCTGCTCGCTGGGGCTATCAAGGGATCATAGAAGTGCTTTTGCAGAATGGGGCAAATCCAGAAATTCAAAACCGGATGAAGGAGACTTCCCTACAGTGTGCATTAAATTCCAAGGTATTCCTCTTTATCTTCTAGCCTGAATCCTGCCTGATGCAAAGCCACAGAGTGTAGATGCTCACCTGCTGATAGGGTTTTGCCATTAAAGTGAAAATGTGTGTTTCACTTGGAAGAAGAAGGGTCACATTTTAACTGTAGTAGCAGGAATAGAGTCTGTGGGATAGAACATGAACTTGTAAACGGGTACTTTTAATCTGCTCAGTCATAATCTGTTACTAATATTAGGTTGTCGCCTAACTTGTGTTTCAGTCAGTGGATTCTTCTTCAAATGGAGTTACACTGATTTTCTTTAATATTTTTATGCAGATTTTGTCACTGATGGAATTAAACTATCTAACGTTTGAAAGAGGACAAAGTGCTTCTGAGGTAACAACCAAAGCAAGTTGCTAAACTTTTTTTTTGCCTGTTCTTAACCTCTGCAATTTGATATGTAACTTTGTTTGTTTGTTTGAATTTTGTTTGTTTTTTTCCAACCATAAGTCACCACTTAGGTCTCCTCAGCTCTCAACAGAAACTTTCAGCAGAGGATCATCTGTCTCAAGCCTGTCGTCAGCATCAACTGATATAAGGCAAGAAGAAGTAAAAAACAGTTATAAAGAGGTAAGACTGAGGTGTAAGTTTTGACAATGAGCAAAGTGAAGGAAGCTAGAAGAGTGATATTTTGCCACAGTTTTAAGCTCCTTCTTCAGGAATAGCCTTCTGTCTGATTTGGAAAATTACATGCTGCTGACCTCAGGGGCTTCTCATCTCAATAACTGAGCACTTATTTTTGTATGGTATCAGCTGATCTGTTGGTTATTTCTGGGGAAAAATTGAAAGCATATTTGAAGTAATTGTTCAGATTTACTGAAGTTAACTGTGTAATTGGAGAATTTGTTCAGGTTTACAAAAGTACAGTGCCCCGAGGACCTGACTGTCCTTTCCAGGAAATAGATGCTATTGTTAGCTTACAAAATCTGTCAGGGAAAAGAGACTAGTACAGACATGCTGGCAAACAACAAACTGGAATGTTAAGACAAGCTTTCAAAATAGGTGTGGGAATCAATTTTGCAACAAGTGAAGAATAGAGACTATATATTAAATATCTTGCATGTATGTGTTTGCTGATTTTGCTCTGTCCACACCAACCAAGATGCCATCCTCTGAATCTTTTCATTTGGGATCTCAGGTCCATATTTCCCATTTAATCCCCTCCTAAGACAGTCATATCACCACTCATTCTGTTGCTTCTCTTTATTTTTTCCATAGTTCTCCTATGCAATTTTTTCCAAATTGACCTCCTTAGTATGTTTGTTTCTCTTCATGTCACCTCTACATTCAGATTCCTTCTTTCCTGCTGTTAAAAGGCTCTTCTCTTGCCAAAAGCTTCTGTTTGCTAAAAACATTGAAGAAACACAAAGATATAAATTTTGACTGGACAATATTACTTCCCACTTCAGTTGCTCTATGAGAGGCTCAGTGTAGGAATGTACCTCCCTGTTTGTACAGAGTCAATGACTTTAAGTAGGTAGACTGAAGATTTATTTTTCCTTGAAGGACCAAATTTATGACACCCAAGAGCTAAGACTGTAGTTCAAACCAGGGAAAAAGATTACAAGCAGCTTACACCTGAGGTCCTTGGGGTTAATGACCTTCTCCTGTAATCCAGCTTTAGTTCATTTCTGTGTGCCAAGTTTCACGTGGGCTCACTGCTCTTATTCTTAGTACCCAAAGAGACCAAGAGCCTGATCCTGGGAGAGCTCCATGAAGGGAATGCCACTGGAAGTAATGGAAAGCTGATATGGTCAGTTTTCCAGATTTAAGGGTTCACACCAGGGATTAAGGGGATCCAGTTAGACCTTTGTTATCAATACTGAATTAAACTATTCACTTAAATGAGCCAGTCATGTGGTTTGCTTATGACTTAGAAAAGAGAGAGTAAAAGGGCTAGGACTGTAAACTGGGACTTGCTCTGTTGGAACTAATGAGTCCTTGCACAATTTCTGTTCAGCAGGTGAAAAACTGGGCATTCAAGTGAATTGTAGTAGATTTGTTTCATCTATTTTTACATTTAAAGGAAGGTACTTCTGTTCCATGGAGGAATGAGAAAACAAACTGGAAAGATGGGGGAATGCATGTAGCAGACATTTTGCCCAAAGTACTCTTATTAAATTATCTATAAACTGCGTAACAGATGTTGTACCACTGCTGGGGCCTGAGGCAGTTTTTAGAACTGTAAGGAAGTTGTTATTTCTGGAAAGAAATTATCAGAGCTTGTGGGTCACTGGCTGTTACTGTTTGGCATCTTGTATGTGATAAAACTGACTCCTGAAAAGTCTTTATTCTCCATAACCGTGTATGTTATGGGGAAATTTATGGGAGGCACAGATCTCCCTAGTATATATAGTCCATTTTAGGTTGGGATTCAGCTCACCCACCTTCAGATGTCTGAAAGATGGTTGTCTTAACTTCAGACATCTATTTTCCCTCCTTAGTCAGTGGAAAGAAATTGGTACCTCCAGAGAGGAATTAACCTCAGACATGCTTAGTTTGACCTGAATTGCAGTCAAGTGTTCTTTGTCTCCTGCATTCTGTTCTGTAGGTACCAGAGGGGGAGTTTAAATGACTGGCTTAGATTTAGACATTCAAAGGTAGGAAAGGAAAATCATAGAATCGTAGATTATGCCTTGAGTGCCTGGTGCATGATTTCAAGGACCTTCATCCTGTATTAGAAAGATAGTAATAAAATAAAACCTTACAGCTTTCCTGAAAGGAGATAAAAATGGAGAAATTTAATCTAGCCTCTGATCTTTGAGCTGTTTGTGTCTGAGATCAGACCAGTCAAACACAAACTTCAGCCTCATTCTTCCTTTTTTTGCCTTACCAAACACCTCTGTCAAATGTTGCAAGGTGTGGTCATTTCTAGATAAAGATTGAAATGTGACTGTAGCTGTCACTCCGTGGCATTTTCCACTTGAAAGGTGTTTCTTAATATTGAAACAACTTTGTTTGCGCAGCAGCATCTTTGGTGATTCTAGCACAGTGCTGGAATAATTTGCTATAATGCTGAAACAGACTTTCACAAAGCTTATTAAATGATTCTTCAACAATCTGCAGGGGCTGGGTGAGCTACCCAGTGACAGGACTAATGGACTCTCCCTGCCCTCTTGCTGGCACCTATCCCACTGCTATCAGGTCAGATCTGCACTCCTTCATGTGAGAGTAGGCAGTCAGAAAAGTGGGCAGACAAGTGCATCTCCTTGTCCTGCTTTCACAAGCAGTCCAAGGGCTCAGGGGAATGGCATCAGTGCACTGCAGAGCACCTTCCATCTCTTCTTCCCTCAGGTGTCTCTTCTGTCTCTGCAGGGCTCCTGAGCAGGAGAGGATGTTCCCCAAGCAGCCCCGCTCAGGCATTATCTGGCTTGAGCATACACATATTTAATTGATCTAATGCTGGTCCCCTGCAACAACTCTCTGAGTTGGAGACCTGGCTTTTGCTAATGCACAGCCTTTGATATTTATATCTTTTCACATTTTAAGTAAGAAAACGAATTTCATGCTTAAAAGTCAAGTTAGGTTTGTACGTGTTTGGTTTTTAGCACAGGAATAAACCAGCAATCTGCACATGTAAAGGGAACAATTGGAAAGAATCTTTTTCAGGTTAAACTGTTGTTTCTCAAATAGCACAATAAACCCTGCCATCCTTTGTGCTTCTGGTAGCTTATAGTAGGTCAGCAAGAGTCCAAAAGAGTATTAGTGTTTATTAGGGTAGAAATTTGTCTTGACTAGGGGTTTTTAATGTTAGGTTCACTGCAGAAATGTATGGGGCAGCTGCTGCTGAAGCAGCATAATAATATGTATCAGCTTACATGGCTTTGTTTATGTGTGGGTCACATATCCTCAATTTACATAAGTACTGTTTATCTTTAACTAAGCAAGTCAGAGATCATCAAATGGCCACAGGCCTTGTACAGCTTTTGTACTTCATAAAGGAAGAAGGTTTTTCCTTTAAAACTTTATCAATAAATATGAAATGGGCCAGCAGTAATCCTACTACATGAGCTTAGGAGGTTAGCAAAGGACACAGGATTTTCTGTGTACTGCTTAATATCAATACTAACAAAACAAATAAATTATTTTCTTCATACATAGGTGGAAAAACTCCTGAGAGCAGTTGCTGATGGAGATCTGGAAATGGTGAGTCTTAGCATGGCTGTTGAATATTATTGAATTCCAATTTATCTCATTCCAATTGAGGAAGCTATTTGTATATAATATCAAGTGAAGAATGCTTTGGGTAATACCTTCCTTCAGCAACAACTGATCAAATTCAGCTCATTTACTAGAAAAAAAATTCATTCCACGTCCCCAAATTATTTTACCTACAGTGCCTTAAGGCTCATTATTTTGACATTTCCATGACCTCATGCACTAAAGAAATTACTTTAAATTGAATAATTCCTTTGTGAAACCCCGTCATTTAAAAATGTATGTATTGTTACCTCTAGGAGATGTAAAGAACTTGGGAAGAACAACACTCAGGGCAGTCATGTTGAAAAGAAATGCTTTGGGAAAGATCAGTTTGTCTGCCTGCAGGTGCTCAAGGTGCTCTGTCAAATGCCATTGTAGATGGGGGTGTGGTGCATTGCACTAATGAGATATGTGTGCTGAGGTCAGTGTTGGACTGGATATGCAGTCAAACAAAACAAAAGAAAAGGCAGAAAGATGAGCTTTCAGGTAAACCTAATTTTGACAGCAAATCCAATAGAAAATGTTATTCCCAGTTGCTTGTTTCTGTGCCAGTTCTGGATATTGAATGTTGGGATTTACAGTTTGTGTTTGACTTAGGAAGCATTCCAGTAATACAGTGTCTTTAGATCCACAAATGCTTTTTCATTCCTAAATTTCCAGGTTCTCTAATGCTTTAAATATTACCTACTCTTTATGGTATGTTTACTGCCTGTAATAATGGTGGATAGGGACTGTAAATGAGAAATGGGCTCTTATTTTGTTTGTTGAGGTCTGTCTCCTCAGGAACAGACCCAGCAGCAGGGTCATAAGTGTTGTAGGTTTTTGCTGTGACAACCAATTGAGCTTTGCAAGAGGAGGCATTAAAAGAAGTGCTACGAAACTGGAAGATTAAAAACAAATATTACGATGTGATTGTTCAGGAAGCCAGAAAACAACCTTTGTTATCACCATAGAGCCTGCAAACTTGAAAAGCAAGTATGCTTTGGATTGGAGAATGGTTTGGGTTGGAAGGGACCTTAAAGATGATCTTGTTCCAACCCCCTGCTGTAGGCAGGGACCTGTGGCTCTGTCAGTGAGGTGTGGTGCAGAAGTGGTTGATCCTGCTTAACATGAATTTTCAGTCCTTCCTTCTCAGTGATTGATGTAGTGGTCAGGTGTGCACCATGGCTCTGTAGTGATGGGTGAACTGTTCAGCTTTCCACAGAGATACTTAGGTTTAAACAAAAAAGCAAATAAAAAAGCCCCTTTTATTATTAGGGTGGGATAACAGTAGAACAGACCTGGGAGGTTACAGAGCCTGTTCTGTCAGAAGTATCTGAGCAGAGGTTGCTCAAACTTCAGTCAATGATATTAAGGAAGAATTGACATTGTCTCAGCGTAGATACTGGATTTAATGCTCTTCTGAAATTCCTTGTACCCAGCATATCCAGTGGAAGGGATATGTGCAAATCCACCACAAAAAAAGAGGCAAATATCTTGTCTAAAATAAATCTTGTGGAGCAGCTCAAAGGCTGGCATACAGGGTACAGAGCCCCCAGAATGCTCAGCTGAGCGTTCCAGGAGTGTATTACTCTGCAATGGAAAAAGCATGTTTCAGATGACAAATTACCTGGCAAATGGAAATTATGGGCAACTTCCTGAGGTGGTTCAGTGCGTGTCTGCTTGAAAATACAGTTAATATTTTGGCAAAAAAACCCTTTAAATGAACTGAGAGCTGTTCCACTGTAGTTATACAGAAGTGTGCATGGGAGTTCAAAGTTCAGATTTTTGTGAGCCACTGGTATCAGTATGTTGAGAGCTGGATATTGAATAGTGAGAGCAGTATTGAACTGTGGCAGGAGGAGGAGGAAGTTGCTTGTGAGGGTCTTGGTCAGTGTGCAGGGAAAGGGGGAAGTGAAGTGGCAGCACTATTTATTTTAGAAGTAGTAAAGTCTCACTAAGTTGGCCTTCCATAAACGGGCAAGCTTAAGAGAAGATTATTTTTTACTCCAGAAGACAACATGGAATTTGCAGGGAAAGCAATATTCTCTGTGGAAAAAGATCCTTTTTCTGTCTCAGTTTTGTTGTCATTCAGAATCAGGTATTTGGCCCTTACTGGTTGTCCTAGGATTTGTTCTAGCTGCATGTGTTTAATTGGATAGATTGTTAATGTGTTGGAGCACAACCTGCTGACAAGTGTGAGAGTAAATAGAGTGGGAGGAACCTGCTGGAAATTCTGTTGTCCCCATTCTCTTCTTGACTATGAACTGTAGAGCTCTTGGCTTGGCCCAGGTCTGTGACACCAAGCCCAGCCCACAACTCCAGCAAAGGTGCCTCTGTCTCAGTTCCAGCAGGAAGGAGTTCCTCGATTTTGCCGCCGCTGTTCAGTGGGGAGGCAAAGGGCCAATCTTCCTTCACAGTAACAAGGCAATGATACATCTTTTCACAGCTCTCTCAAAAGCTGCTAAAAAAAAAAAAAAGTAAAAGGAAAACCCTTCACAAGATGACATGCTTCACACCCACTCTGTAATCCTGTAACTTGCTGTGTCTGGGAACTTCCCAGAGGATCTGCAGGAGCTCTGGGAGATCTCACCAAAACACAGGAGTGCCCTGGTCTTTCTTTCTTGTGCTGTGATGTTAGTCCTTGGCATGCACCTAGGCAAAGTGACTGCTGATGGACTGTCCATTGCATTATGAGACCAATTTAATTCCCACTTCTGTCTTGAGTTCCTGAATTGTTTGTCCCATTGAGCTTACAAGCTCAGAATGATACACCGGGTAGGTGTCAGGCTTAACGTTGCTGGGTGTTGTAATAATGGAGACTTAATACAGTCACTGCTAATTCTGAGATGTCTTTAGTGAACAGCAGATTAATGCATTTCAAGGTAAAAATGTATTTCATAAACAGCTTTTTTTGTTGTTGCCTAACATGTAATGTAAAATTGACATGCAGTAATTATCACTGTTTGCAAATTGGATGTGAATGCTCTGAGTCCTGAGATTGTCTTCACTGAAGGGCCTCTCCCTCAAACATGAGGAAAAAGTGTCCTGGGAGTTCACAGACCTAAGAAAAGTTAATGCCCCTGCAAAGTTTTGGATGTTAGTTAAATGTCATCATCCTTGTCGTTTCTTATGTTCTTTAAAGCAAAAGATGAAACAAAATTCACATTGCTATGAGATGGCACAAATCATCTGAGCTAAAAGGATTTGGAGGGTTTGAGAATGAGTAAACACCAAAATTGTGATTAGGCAGCAGGAAGTCATTTATAGTTCACTTCACTGCTGTACTTGGAGAACTTTCTAACTGCTTTGTCAACAGTAACATTTGATTTAATTTGGCCTGTGGGCAGCTGATGCCAGGAGTGGCTGTATATCTCCCTGAGAGATTCACAAGTGTATGTTTGTGAAATCTTACTTGTCTACATATGCAGATTTATTAGGACATGGAATCTTTGGACTCTATAAAGAAGGACTTGCTTTTTATGCCAGGTACGTTATCTCTTGGAATGGGTGGAAGAAGACTTGGAAGATGAGGATGACACAGTCAGTACATCAAAACCAGAATTCTGCCATCCATTATGCCAGTGCTCAAAATGCGGGCCAGCACAAAAGGTTGGAATATTCATTCAGTAAAAAGATTGATTTATATTTTTTTAATGTAAGTTTTAGCTCCAGGGAAGTAGCATTCCTATGGCCAAGCACCTCTGTATCTCTGTTTAAAAAGGAACTGGCTATATACAGGTCTTCACAGTTCATCTGATATCATGAAATTGTTCCTTTTTTCAATTGCACTGTTGAAAATTTTGGATACAGGAACAGTATTCAAAGACTTGCTCAATACCTAATGGAGTGAGAAAGCTTAACAGTTTGCTTTTAGAATATGTAGGCAACTTTGAATAATAATACTTTTCTAAGCCTCTGGTTCTTTTTTGTAGTTTACATTGCTAACTGTCACACTACTTACCTTAGTAATCAGTTTAGCAAGGAATACCTGCTAATCCTGTAATCAATGTAATGCTGATAAAGTCTTTTTTTAATTGCATGACATCTTTCCTACAGGCTACATCTAAAACCTCTTCAGAGATTAAATATAATTACAAAGACTTTGTTTTCAGTTGCAAAGACTTCCTTCCCCCTTATTTATCATGGACTGTAGAAGAGAATCAGGCTTTACAATACACTCTTGTATTTTCTTTTTTTTTTTTTTTACACAAGGAATGATCCCAGTTTCTTGGAAATAGAAAACCAATTACTTGCTTCACATTCACACTGTGCTTTAGTCTCTGGTAACGGGTGTCCATGTGCCCTCAGTACAGAGATCATGTGCTAAAGGTGCCAGAACTTGAGACCATGAAGCTCATCTTATTGCTAACAGGGGAAGGAATGGCATCTGCTGTGGAATTTACTTGCCTGCTGAATGAGAAGAAGGAACTTGTTAACTAATCTTAATCCCCTGTGTTAGGCAGCACACACTGAAAAGCACACTGAGGACAGGCAGAATGACTGTCCAGCACTGTAATGTCAGGCACCCACAGTTTGTGAGAGGAGTGAAAGAAGGTATTCTGTACTGCTATGTAAGCTGTCTTGTAGATAGTTTCCTTATCTTGACTCCCTGTGGGAATCTGCTCTCTGGGCCAGTATTGCTTCCAGATGAGTAAAATTAATTTTAGTTTTTATCCTTATTACCTCAAGCTTCATGTAGCAGTAAAACAGGTGTGTAGTGTCTGTCTTGAATAGCATAAATGTCTGTATAAATGAAAGTAACTCATTAACTAATATCCATTATGAGCATCCTAACAGCTGTATAAAAACCTGTGAGTTTTACTTTGTCTCAACCTGTGCTGCTTTAGTCTCTTTTTAATATCATGAATACTTTTCCTGGAGTTTCTGTCTATGAAGTTATTATGTTGGAAGAAAAGAGAGAACAATAACATTGTTCTGTTCAAAAATACCACCCAGCTGCTCTGGTTTGCTGACTTTTCCTGGAGTCCTCAAGTTAGGCTCTGTAGCAGAAGTTCTTGTAACATCCATCTCCTCGGTTTGTATAAACTTAGCAGGTATTTGGCTGCTCTTTGGTTAACAGAAAGTAGCATGATTGTCTTTATAGTTTCGTGGTGTCTTTTCCTCAACAGAAATTTTCAAGGATCTCTGCCAATGGGCTGGGAGTGAACGTTTCCAACCAGGATGGTTTTACTCCGCTGCACATGGCAGCGCTGCACGGGCGCTCCGAGCTTGTCTCGCTCCTGCTGAAACACGGGGCCAGTGTCAGTGCCAAGAATGCAAAACACGCAGCTCCTCTTCACCTGGCCTGCCAGAAAGGGCACTTCCAGGTAACTCATCCTCTAAATAAAGCTGTTTGACGCTTAGTCACCAACAAAAAAGCTGCTGTGGGAAATTATCAACAAGACTAAACCAGTAACAGAGAAAATTAGTTTGGTGACTCTGCTTTTTCTTTCAATGTCTAAAATCTCCAGATGAAAAGGGGATCTTTCCGCTGAAACTGTTTCAGTAGACACCTTTTCTTACTAAATGATCTGAAATACTGGTTTAATGCAAGTGCTGCCAAAAGCTACTGTCATACTTCAAACACTTTAAAAATGCCTTGTGAAGCTGAATCTTCCTGTGTATGTTCCTCTATACCTTCTCTTCAAGGAGGTTATGTGCACCTCTTGGTATCTTTAGTAGCCACAGTATTAAATATTTGCTGTGTTTTCGACTCATTAAAGTAGACTATGAGCCAGTTTGAGCTCTGAGGGTAGCAGATAACCTCGTCCCTCACTGAGGGTAGGGTTTTAATACACGAGGAAGAGTAAGTGAGAGGGGAAGAATAACAGTCGCGAAAAAGCAGGGGCAGAAAAGCAAATGGGAAGATGCAGAAAAGTGGAAAACTAGGGTTATAAGAATAAGGAGCTGAGGACTGCAGGAGGAAAAAAGAACTGTGAAGATGATGGGAAGGCAAAAGCACTAGGGAAGCAAATAAAAACAAGAATACAACTTGCACTTGTAGGTTAATGAAGGTTAGTTCATGGGATATTTACAACATAAAGAACTCCTTCCAAGTGTTCTTATGAGTTGGGAAAAGTCTGATGGGTACTGCTGCTGTGGTGGTTTGGTTTTGATCTTTGGTTAAGTTATTGGTTATGTATATTTTCCACATAACTCGAGTTTTATTTTCTGGACTTTCTTGAAGTTGCTTAAGTTTTGGGGTTTTTTTAAAAGTGTGTGTTAAAATTAATCTGATAGGAAGAGTTGTTTGTGGTTGTCATCTCTTTGGCAAATGTGACACTTGTTTTCTCCATCCTTTTTTCTTCCATCCCTTTCTCAATCTAGATTTCCGAAAAATGGTTAAAAAAAGTAGAGGGGGGGGGGCTTTCACTGCATGATTGTGGTTAGCTGGTATCTTAAATTAAAAAGTTTTTTCTTTCCATAGGTGGTAAAGTGTCTGATGGATTACAATGCTAAACAAAACAAAAAGGATATATATGGAAATACTCCTTTAATTTATGCATGCTTGAATGGTCACTATGAGACTACTGCCCTGTTGTTACAGGTAAGATCACTGAAAACAGAATGTTCAGAGTGGTATTTCTTAGGTGGTATCTGTGCTTACCCAGTACTCAGGATCAGTATTTTTAGTTTGACATTTTTCTGCGAAAACTACTCAGAGAAAAAAGAAAGAGGGTTTGTTAATTCACTCTTTTCAATGCTTTCCCTTCACAGATTTTAATTACATAAATATTACCTTACTATTGTACAGTTAGCTGTTTTTATGGAACTTTTATGTGACAGGTGTTGGGTTTTCTGGCTTATGATTCTATCCCATAGGAGTTTTTATTGTGGTTTTGGGGGGTTTTTAAGTATCTCCTAAACTTGGACTGTATAGTAGATATATGCAAAAATGAAGTGAGCTGATCCAGGAGCTATGAGAGAGGAGGAAATAATATGATCAGATGGTTTATGGTGACTGCAGAGGACTCTACTGCCTTGTCCTTGTTCCTACATGGGAAAGGAGAGGAAAACAGAATAATGTGCCATCTCCAGTCTGTGCTACCCTGCCTTCATAAGTGGGATTTCATTTTACTGTCCATCCAGCGTGGAGCCTCTGTGAACCTTTCCAATGCCAGGGGCAACACAGCCCTGCACGAGGCCGTGGTGGGGAGGAACGAGGCCCTGGTGGATCTGCTCCTGCAGAGCGGGGCCCTGACACACCTGAGGAACGACAGGAGCTGCACCCCTGCAGACTGTGCTGAGCCCGTGAGTGCAGCCACCTCCATTCCCAAAGTTCCCTGTGCACAACGGGGGAAAGGCAGCAAATAGAAGTGTTTGCCAGGACAATGTTTGTCAGATTTCTGTATTGAACAGTCACGTGTGATACAAAGACTTCAGATGCCTCTTTATTGTACAACGTACAAATGATTATGTGAAACCTGTTTCTAAAATAAGTTATCCTAGGCAAAAAGGATGAGTCTAGAAAGAGTTGAAAGCACGTATGTAAATAAAAATGACATTAAATTATGTAATGGCAGAGAGAGCAGAAGAAATGCTGGCAAATGAACACCTTTCACTAATCAGTTGCACTGCCAGCAATCTTCCTTTTTCCACCCACCGCCTTCTGCCCTTCAAGCCTTTTCATACCTTTTATCTTGCAATAGATAACTGTGAGCTTCCCCTTTATTAATAGCAATAACATTCTCATTCTATCTAATATTAAATGATACAGAATTTTTTCATCCTTAAGGGGTTTGATGCATGGTCCCTCTCTTTATATGCTTAAATAGCCTGAGATGTAGCATAATGACCACTAAGTTCTGTACTGAATCAATTTTAGCATGTGTATTACCATTTGAACTGAAATTAGCTTAACCATAAATTGTATAGTTTAAAATAAGAGGTCAAGGCTACTAAATCGTCGCTCTGGTACAGTGCAACTTGTGGAACACTGATTTTTCCCCTACTGAAAATGATACAATTTCAAGTTTATGTTTATAATGAAATATTTTCATGTGTATTACATTCATTTTGGCAGCAATTAATTGACACACTCTGCACAGACTAAAATCCTAAATTGTACTGATATTTTTCTTTAATAATGGTGAAAAATATGGAAACTCTTAAAATGAAGAACTCAAATATCATGAAGTTGCTGGAAGCAGCACCAAGCTCTGTACCCACATCAGCAGAAGGAGAGAAGGAGAGTGAGCAGCATGCTACTGTCAAGATAAGGAAAAAAGGTACCTCTCATATTTCCACTGGTATGAATAAAAAGGGATTTAAGAATTCATATGCAAATACATCAAATATTTAATGTAATTGATTTACATATGATTAAAGAACTGTCAATTATTTTGCATATTTATGATAGGTAGCACTTAGAATACTGTAACTGCAGCAGACTTTGTGTTATATTCATGACATTGCTGCAAAGTTAGTTTTTACTTTATTGGGGTATGTGTGCAAATTTCATATACAGAAGCATTTAAAGTTAAAAAACACACCACATTTGAGATTATATAATTAAGCATGTATTAACTGTGCATTTCAGTGCAAAGTAAAACAGGTTTAAATGACTTTGTCATTTAATTTGCCCCGAAACAGGTCAGGGAGTGACTCTTCATTCATGACTGTCTCTCATATTTTGAGACAGAAATAAGAGCTAGAGAGGGAACTGTCTGAACCTTTCAGCACAGTTTGCAGAGGACTTTGAGCAGTGGCAGGATGTGGCACAGCCTCAGACAATGTGCAGAGGCACGTGGCACAGAGTGACAGTGCAGCTGTGCTGCTGCAGTGCCTTATGGCCACGGGAGACAGGTGTTACCATCCCTCCTCCCCTCTCACCCTCTGATCTGGGTTATCCACTACTCCCCTTGTGCTGGCTCACAAGTGTTTCAGGTGCATTTTGAAGCTGGTAGAGTTCACTGACCTGGGGCAAGGGACATAACAAGTTTTGTGCTGAGCCAGGCAGAAAGAGGACAGGGAGGCTGCAGAGCAGGAACTAGGAAGATGAGGAGCAGGAGTGCCCATTTCAGCGGCCATGAGTTTTCAAAATAACTCTTGCATTCCACCCTTGGAAAGATTGTGAATGTCTGGTTAATGGAAAGCCACAATTAATCACAGTGCGCTGATGCCTAAAATTGAGATAGCTCTTTCAAATATTATGAGAATAGTTCTAAAAGAACAATTGAAGATATGTTTGGCATCTGTGTGTTAATTCAGGTTTGTAAAACTTCACAGTCTCTGCAGAAGCTTGGCCAGTCATGCTAATCTGATGAAGAATGTTTACTCCTGCAAATTAAAATGCTTTAAAATTTCCAGAGTCAAATTGCCACTCTGATTCAAGTTAGTACTGTTACAGTTTTGCTGTAAAATTTAAAATCTAATGTCAGAAGATGCCACTTTTCATTCAGAATTGTGTTTTTTTAATTCCTAAGCGTGACTCAGTTGTAATTTTAGCTGCCTGTTCTTTTAAACCCCCAGTGCATTCTAAGCCCTGTGAGAAAGCCGATGATCCCATAAGCAGACAACTTCAACTGGTCCAATCAATTAACAGATTTAACAAGTAAGCAGAGGAGCTTCCTCAGAGTATGTTTGTTGTTTCCCATACATGAACAAGAAATACAGCTGCTAATAAAGCCCAGAGAGGGTCAGTCATGGTTACACATCACATGCTGGTGTGACAGTGGATGTTAATCCCCCAAGGCTTGCACGTTCACATCCCCAGGCAGATGTTCTGGGCACGAAATGCTCACTGGGAGTTGAAGGAGCACTTACAAGTATATTTAAATGTATTTAAAACTGAGTTTGCACTAATACTTGGTGTACCATCATTTAAGGGTTTCAGAGCCAGACAGCTTTAAAAATATAATGTTAGTGTTCACTCAATGGTTGGGGTTTGCCTATTATATTTTTTAATGTTAATATTTATTCTGTAGTAAAATACAGGGAAGGTGGTGTAAGGGAGCAACCTGTCTCTGGTGAGAGAGTTCCACCTTGTGGAGCTTCTGTGATAGAGGCTTTTATGAAAGGCTTATGTAAAGACATTTAATCTCTTTCATTTCTTTAAAATTTTCTTTAGAGAAAAACATTTACGGAGAACAATAACAAGAGATAAAAGTGTCCCTAATTTTGACTATCAGTTACTGCACCAGGTAAGTGGAAATACTTGCTTGAATTATTTGTAGGATATAGCAAATATGTTTGTTTTCTATTACTATGGGCACATATAAGAGGAAAGTTTCTTTACTAGTGATGGGTGTTGAGTCACTTGACCTGTTTGGAAAATTGCTGCTGGTTCATCGTTGTTCAAACTTCAGTGGTGCTCTTCAATAACACCTCTTAAACACCTTATTCTTACTTTTAAACCTCCTAAGCCTCTTATTGCAGGCTTCATCTCTTGTTTTCTGTGTCATTACAGCAAAACCTAGGACTGAAAAACCATGCAGGTTGTAGGAGCTGTAGCCAAGCAGGGATGCTTTGGCAACAGACACATTTTTCAGTAGATTAAAATCAGGGCTTGCATAAATCTGCTTGTAAGAGGAGGAGATTGCTTGCAAGGGTGACAGCAAAGTGCATGTTGCATTGTCAGCTGTGACACAAATATATGTGATAGATTGCTTGTGAGTGTGGTGCCACCCCACACCAACCTGGCTGTTGGATGCTGCCCTTCACCCAGAGCATGTGCTCCCTCTTCCTCCTTACGCTGCCTTTGGCTCCTGTTGCACCTTCTGCTGAACCATCTCAGCACACTTTAATCAAGAGAAAAACTAACCTGTCCAAAACAAAGCAGGTTTGCCCAGGTTAGTCCAGCAGCTGCCCATCATTAGATTGACACAGCCTTGGAAATGCAGACTCGCTGCTCATGTCCATCTAGAAAATGGGATACTGTTCTATTTCATAGAGCCCTTAGGAGATTGAACATTTGCAGAGAGCCTTGAGAACGCCAAATTAATGCTATAAAGCTGTAATATTTTATTATTTCTTGTATTAATGATAATATTCCACTACTTAATTAAACATGGGATTTAGATTTTATAACTGTGGCTCACTGAATGCAGTGTGTCATGTCATTACACAGGTGTCAAAAAACTAATATGTGACCATGAAACACAGCTCTTCAGCCACGTGCTGTGGTGAGTTCATGCAGCTGTGGCTGTACAATGAATTCACGAGCCACACAGCTCTCAATTGTGTCAGTAATCAAGGAGAGCCACCCCCTCTGTAAAGGAAAAATCAGGAGCAGGTGTGGAAATGGAAGATACAATAGTTGGAATGACCAAAAAGAGGCATTAAGGGAGGAGGGGGAAGGGTGGGTGTCTCTTCCCTCACCGGTAACAACTGGAAGCAGGGAAATTTTGCCTTTACCTTCAGCAGTGCCTGGTTGACCATGTCTGTATTGCTACTTCCATGTTTCTTAATAGTAAAAGAAAGGGCTGTTAATTTCAGGTACCTTGAGACTTGCATTACAAAAGGTGTTTAGAAGAGTTAGGATGATGTTGGGATACTGCAGTGAAAATAAGTTTTGGAATGCCTGTTCTGTTTTCAGTTCTGGTACTGATGTGGCCTCTTCTTATTTTTTCATATATAGCCAAAGTATAATTACTCTCCTACAAAGTCTGCCATTTTTAATCCTTTGCTGCATTTTCAGTATAAAGAATACCATGCAATTGATGTGATAATTATAACACCATATTCATTTTACTTCTTTGTAATGAAGGAAGTAGGTAATGCTCTTAACATCCCCTTCCTCTCTCCTCACAGATGGCTATTAAAAGCTTTGATAAAACCAAGTTAAAGTCTGTGGGAACGCTGGCCCAGAGCACAGTTGAGGGTGTGGACACGGGAAGCAGTGGGGAGTTTGTGGAACACGATGACACGATGGAAGTTCCTCACAGGAGCAAGTTAATGCAGCGCAGACACACAGTTAACGTGCCCCTTCCAGCAGAGGATGGCAGTGACAGTGGTTCATCCAGCCCTGGAAGTCTGGGTGTTTCACAATCACAAGACTGCTGTGAGGACTCCGTCTCAGGTCACTGAATTGGATGCCAAAAGCTGAGGAACTCGGTGGTGTGAGCTTTGTTACCCTTTCACTGTGTGTCAAAGACGTCAGTGCCACTCGCAGGCCTGTGCTCAGAGCAGAGGACAGGACAGCTCTGCAGCACAAACTGAATGTTTTAGCACTTTGAAGACTGACTCCTGTTTATGGTGGAGGTAACTAACAGCCAGATCATTACTGATCTCACAAACAGGGACATACCAAGATGTAGACAGCAGAATCACCTTCCTATCCTACTTAGCACTTATTAAAAAATTCTGTGTAACAGTAAACCAAATGAAACCCTGTATTGTATTTTTCAGCCACCCACTTTGTTTTAAAAGTCTTTGAATAATTTTTGCATTTTTCAGTTTTTATCACTACATTGAGAATATATTTATATATATATAAAAAGATATATTGGATAACAAGGTATTTATTGCCAGAGATAACTGAAATGTCTCTATTTTTATTGTAATGTTACAAACCATTATAGTATATATTTCTGTATAGTTCAGTAGCTGGGCAGACAATAGTGCATAACATCTGCAGCACTGCATTATTAATGTGAAGGGATGCAATCCTTGCTGATTCCTTGGCAATGCTCCCCTGTATTAGAGCTGCAGCATCAAGATCCTACACAGGAGCCAAAATACTGGGGAAAAAGTGGAGAGCCCTTGACAAAGCTGAACTTTGGACTTGCTGTTCACAGCCTAATAAAAAACAATGCAGAAGCGTGTAGGGACACACAGAATAGTTGGGTTTTCCCTTCCTCTAAAGCAAGTAGTGCCAAAATGCACAACTGTTCATGATTCTGAACCTGGGCAACATCTGCAGACAGAACTGCTTAGGAGCCTGCTCTGGACTGCTCTTAAAAAGGTGACATTCCCATATGAAAGGTACTTCTCTCATCAGTGAGCTTTGGTTGGAATAGGCCAAATCCCACCCCATTCCCCGGGGTGATCTCTGAAAGCTCACAGGGAACTACGAGGTGGCTGCTTAGATTTCAACTTCATTTTCCACTGTTCAGTTACATGTAAATAGAACAAGCCAGGTTTGGCAGTGCAGGATTTTTTATTCTTGGCTCATCACATCCAGCTTGCCTTTTATTTCTATTTCCAAACTATTTTTATGGATAACTTTCTTTTAACTGTGGTATTAGTAACCTGCCTGGCAAAGTACAAAGCTGGAAGACAGACTGATGGGTTTTTCAAATAACTTTTTAATCTAAGAGTTAAAATGTCAAATGACATTTGGATTTGATGGTAATGTGTTTATTTTTCTAATAATTTATGAGTTCATATGATTTTCTGATGTGCCTTGGATTTGTGCCAAATGATAGAAAGCAAAAACTAGTAAAATAACTCTTGAAAAATGCTGTTTTCTTTGAGTCCTTTTGTCCAAGCATTGATCTGTTGTGCAGATTTCCTTGCTTGGTTTTTTTAGGCATTTGAAGACTTCACCTTGCATCCAGCTGTAAATTAAAGGATCTCCTGGAATTTACTCTTCAGTTCAATATGATTTTCTTCCCTCCCACATTCACGGATTATTAGTTTGTGTGGTTTGGGATTTAAGGCACAGAGGTGTACAAAATATAATTGTTAGTGAAACTGAGCATTTTCACATAACCTCCTTTTCCAGCTCTACATTCACATTAAAAAAAGAATGGATGGATGTTCAGCTCTTAAAAGCCAAAAGACCCGAAAGGAAAGAGACAAACCAGGTTTTCTTCCCTCTTGTGACACTGTAGATGACCCAGAGTAAGTCACTTGTCCTTACCTGTAAGAATAACCTCGATATTCAAGAAAAATTCCAGATCTAGTCCAAATGAAACAAAAATAACAACTGCTTAATACTTTTTTAAACACATTCACATAAGATGAAAAACACCCACTAGTGCTCACTTGAAATAATTTTATTCTGTTCCAAAAAACACTGCAGGTGGAATCATACATGATCCTGTTATGTCAGATAAGGGGGTCTGTGGTGGTAGAGTGTTTATCAACACATTACAGTATTTATCCTACTAACTTCCATAACCATATTTTTGAATAAAGGTGTAGCACAAGTTCAGTTTTAATTTATGCATGCAGGAGTTGCAGAAAGTTTAGGAAAATGGTCTTTTTTTTTTTTTCCAGTAAGAAACACTCCAGCCATTTGATAAAAGTGGAGGTAGTTTTAAGAACATACGATACCAAGTGTCTGAACAGTGCTGTTACACAGTTAACTTGCTTTTTTGGAGATAGCCCAAGAACTTCACAGAGCAGTGGTTCAGCTGTTTGCTGTTACCATTTCTTTACACAGACTGCCTGATATGGAGTCCCCTGATCCAAACACTATTTGATGCCTTCACTTTATTTTTAAATTTCTACTAAGGAGTTGAGAGCCATTGAATGGCTCGACAGGGGTCCTTCAGGGGCTCAGGAAATCTCCTTTCTAACACTTCTGGGACTTGGAGGCAAGATTTTAAACTCCTGGAGAGTGGCTGTTCCCAGCTTCTCACTTGGCTCCTGCTGTGTTTGGTATCTCCACCAGCAGCAAGTTAAATGTGTGCAGTGGCTGAAAGCAGAGCTTACACACTGAGTAAGGGGCAACAAAACATTCATGCTCATGAAGCCGTGGGGAACCTCGCACTGCTCGGGACTCTTAGACTACAAAAATTTAAGTTATAAAATCCCCCTTCTCAAATTTATTTTACAAGTTCATTTGTTGGCCTTTTATAATAATAATAATAAAAAAAAAAAGTGAAGAAGCGTAAACATGTTCAGGTCTTGTGTTCTGCCTGATAACAGCAAGGTGCCTTTCTGCAGGCGTTTGTTTGGCAGCCTTACAGTGGTATTAATAATCATCCTCTTCATCAGAATCCAGTACTCTCCTTCTGTTGAACTAAAATGAAACAGATAAGGTGAAAATAGAGGGGTCACAGTAATTCCAGGCTGGCACAAGCCTTTCCCACTCTGCATTTGACAGAACATCCCCCATCCCTCCTCTCCCAGTGGGGCTGCCAGTGTCACAGCCCAGCTGCAGATGTTCCTGCTCTGATTTCATCCCAGCACTCACCAGTGCAGGGCTGAGAGGTGGCAATACCAAGTTCTGCCCTGAACCAAACTGGTCCAATATCTGTTATTTTTCTGCTGTTTTGTAACAACATCACATTTAGGAAAGAGAGTTTACCTTCACTGTTGTTTTCTTTTCTGTTTGCTGACTCACTTTTTCAAGTATTTCTATCAAACCTTGTTCTGATACCTAGGAGAGTGAAAGACCAGCTGTACAAACACATTCTGAGAAATGCTTGGTATCAAAAAACAATGAATCACAATTTCCTTTCTTATGAAAGGTTTTTGATGGAATTATATAGTAACATTTAAAAGCTCTCAATCACCTTTTCAGTTATTTAATTTACAGCTATGAGAAACATCCTTTTTTTCTTTTTAGAGTGAATTGGGTTTGAAAATGAATATATGTGAGAAAGAACTGGGAAAAGATACTCACCTTTCCAGCTAGCTGTCCAAATCTTGCCATCTGTATAAGATAATTCTCTACTGCTTTTGCTTTGTCTGGTTTCACAAGTGCTAAATTGCTTACTGCAACAAAAACAGGCTCTGCTCATTTGGGTTTAAAACATTCTCAAATACCTTCACCAAGTAACTAAAAAGTGACAAATGTCCCTTTGAAATCGTCTCCTTCATGCCAGGGTCATGAAATAAATTGAAAAAAGCATTTTCACTTATGCCAGAAACAAGGCAGTTATATTTCTTACTTTAAAGTATTTGTTCATTATTAGATTAACCAATTTTTACTTTCCCTAAAATTCCTATTATCAATTAAAAAAAAAAATTGATTAACATTATTCAGATGTCAGTTAAACCCTCCCCTCCAATCACTGATATTGCTGCAAGTTTTATCTTCTCAGCAACAACAGTATTTTTCTAGTCTGGCCTCCATACAAGCACCTGCTGGATTCCTCCACTAGGTGAGGAATTTTGAAAGTTACTTGGATACTCACATCTTGCACGGGCTGCTTGATCAAGAACTTGGGCTAAAATAGTATTTCTTATCTCTGCTTCCCTGTAAGGGAAAATGAACCACACATTAGAAGTGGGATTTCAAATACCTAAAATAACATGTACAGAACAGCAAACTACAGAACGCTTTTGATTCATGGAAGATCACTTCAAACCTTATAGTTACATGATTTCTTTTACAGCTTTTCCTCTCAAGGGCACTTCTATGTACATTGAAGTTACACAGCTGGCAATGTCTTCCAAGAAATCAAGATGGAATTTAATACTTACACCTTCTTACTGCTTATGATTACATCTCAGAGACTACCCACTTTGGATCCTGTGTTCAGTTCCATGTGGAATTCATCCCAAGGCAGTGTATGGCAGAGCAGGCACAAGGAATAGTCCTTGCAATGGCAAGACAAACCCAAACCTCATTATGAATTTGGCATTTTTCACTAAGTCTTCATATATTTGCAATATTTGACCATCTGCAATTCTAGTTTATGCATTTCAGTCAATACAAACTTGGACTGTGTGCCAAGTCAGCTCTTCAAACATTTGTTTTCAGTGTTCCCCTGAGCACAAATACTAAACACTGTTCCCACACAAAGCATTTTGTTTCATATTTTTAACTGCAACAGCTATCCCAGAAAAACCAAACCAGCTAGGAAAGGCTGTTCCTGCTGCAGTAACGGAGCCAAACCCAAAGTGGTCACTCAGACAAAGCAGCAGTTTGGGAGGAGCTGTGCCAGCCTTCAAGATTTGTACCACGAACTCTTCCCAACCTCGAAGAGCCAAGGTGTTTTTTCCAACAACAAAACAAATGAGGGGGAGTTTTCCAAAGAAATTAAATACTCAAAAAAACCCAGAGTGTAAATGGTTACAAATTATTATTAGATGCAAGACCAAAATTCAGTAGTCTCATGGGTACCTCTGTTTTGCTTCCTGTTGCGATGGATCACCAGGAGGCTCCTAAGGAATGAGAGTGGAGTAAACACCACAGTCCAGGAACATTTCACACAGGACAGTCCATTTAAATATTCCAGCAGCATCCATGGAAGCTAAAACTGCCTGAACCCGCCTGGCCATGGATGAGATCCTGGAAATGGGAATCTGCTGCCCCAGCAAATAAAAATGCCACCCTCTGCTTTCCTCACAGCGCAGCGATGCCAACAGTGGGGTGAGTGCTGCTCCTGGATCTATCCACAGACTTCCCCTTAGGTGTAGGTTAATAAACTTCCCCAAAGCCCAGAAAACTGACAAAACCCATAAGGTAAGTTAAGGATAAGTGAAATTAAATGTAATGCTTTGTATTTATCAAAACAAAAGAAAACCCAATCCCAGCTGAGATCAGAGAATCACAGAATCATGGAATATTCTGAGCTGGAAGGGACCCACAAGGATCATCAAGTCTAACTCCTGGAGCCAATGAAAAGTCAATGATGGGGGTTCTGCAAGAGTTGGTCCTGCATTAAATACTAATACATATGAAAAATAAAAGGGGACAAACTTCCAAGTCACTATTAGTGATGACTATTCAGAAGCAAGCAACAAAGAGGAAAAAACTGAATTTTATGTAGAATCTGCACCTCAGATTTTACAGGTAACACTTAAAAGGGTGGAAGCAGGATGGGAAACTGTACAGAAAGAGAACAGGGCTGCTCAGAGGTCTGGGAGGGCCTTCACAGGGACAACAAAACTGCCAGTTCATATAAATCCATACAAATATCTCCCAGGGGTGTCAGAGGATGGTGCCAGACTCTTTCCAGTGGTGCCCAGCGACAGGACAAGGAGAAATGGACATAAACTAAACCACAAGAAGTTCTACCTCAACAGGAGGAAAAACTTCTTCACCTTGAAGGTGGCAGAGCACTGGAAGAGCTGCCCAGGGAGGGCGTGGAGTGTCCCTCTCTGGAGACATTCCAAAGCCACCTGGATGCGTTCCTGTGTCCCCTGCCCCGGGTGACCCTGCCTGGGCAGTGGGGTTGGACCGGGTGATCCCCAGGGGTCGCTTCCAACCTGAACCATGCCGTGACTCTTCAGCTCTGAAAACCGAGATGGCTGGAAGGTAATCCATGGGATAGCGAGTGGTGTGGAGCAAGGTCGGGGGAGGGACCGCTCGTGTGCGGAACCTTCCAGGGAAGGAGGGCTGCTGAGGGGAGGTGACCGCGGGTCCCGGGCAGTGCCGATTGTAGCCAAGACCCGGCACGGCCGGGCCGCGCCCCCTCACTCACCAGAGGCCTCTCCTGTCCCCGCTCCCCTCCAGCCTCCCAGGGGCGTTCGCCGCGCTCGCCGAGAGCGGCCCGGGCGGGGGCACGGGCGGTGCCTCACCGCGTCCCAGCTCTGATCTCTCGCATCTCTCACCCCG